TTCCTGTCCATCCATTCCTGTCAAAGATAGAAATGAGCAAACTAACAAATGAGATGGGAGAAAAAAAAAAAAAATAGAACGCCGATTTAAAAACACCCCTTATAGATCGAGTACAGGAAACAGTATCACATGTACAAGCCATGGGATAGTGTCAACCCCCCCAAAAAAAGAGGATAAGAATAAACGGAGCTAGGACCAAGCCTGGTTGGTCTTTTTTGTTCTCTTTCATTCACTTCATATGGGATATATAGACGGAGAAATAAAGAGGCGGAGGGGTAAAGCAGGACGGCCAAGGGTTAACCACGATCAAGGAGTCGTGGATCTCGGGAACTCAGACCCTGGATGACATTTGACTTTGCGCCGTTGCTTGTGGAGGGAGAGTCGGTATGAGATGGTGGTGGAAACAGGGTTGAAGGGGATTGCGGAGAGTCCTTCATTATAATGTCCGTTGAAGCGGGTGGATTCTGACCAAGGCCATTTGTTTGAGCCTGAGTCTCCGCAAACTTGGTGAAGGGCAGCTGTGTCGTGGGACTTGGTTCTGCACTACCCGTTGAAGGCGCGGGACTTGTACTGTTGGGCAGAAATGGGTTGGGAGCCTTTTCTGTGGTTGGGGTTGTCAAAGTCCCGCGACGACTCATGTAGTCATTCAAACTCAGTTTCTTCTTCACGGGGCTTGGAGCTGTGAGACTCGATGTTGGCGTTGGAGTAGGAGTAGCAGCCGCAGGTTGGCTAGGACTGGTGGTCTCCAACTTGGACGACTGAGAAGGTTTTGTGACGGCGATGGGAGGAGCGGGCTTGGATGCTGAGTCCGGCGAACCCACACTGTCTGTTGGAGGAGGAAGTTGCGGAGGAAGGGGTATTCGCATGTCAGGTTTCCCAGGAATTTTGCGAAGAGTAGGCAGGTTGTGTGCGACTGTCGAAGGGAGATGGAAGAGAGGGCAAGGAGGTGGTGATGACAGCGAAACAGAGGAGATAGTTGTAGGGCTGGCCGAGCTAACTGCAGCATTGGGAGGTGTCATTGACGAGTCCGCATCTTTCATTTCAATGTCCGATGCTTGCTTTGGTGAAGGGGCTAGCCTTGAGTTCACCGGCGTTGACGGAGGGAGCATGGTGCCTGCACTGGCAGTTTCTGAAGAGTCTAGGCTGGGTATGCTATCTAACCGACCATCTTCTTCCATCTTTATGCGATCTTCGAGACATCGTCGCAGCAGTCGTTGCGAAAGAGTCATGAACCGTGGAGCAGGGAACGGCTTTGGTGGAACGTATTGAGGGTCATTCTCATCGGGATCAGTCTGGATAGAACGGTCAATATAGACTGGTCGGCTCAACGGCGACACCACGCGAGATGTGCTGGCGGCAGATGTCTTTGGAGGAGTGAAATGGCCTTCTCGACGTTGAGATGCAGACTCAGGAGACATCTTGGCTGGCGAGTGAGATGACCTGCGCGAGTTGGGTATGTCAAGGTGCGAAGGCTTCGCTGACTTCTAGAAAGATAATTAATTAGTATTATAGTCGTTATAAGATCAACTGTCAAAGGGATCTGGAGACAAAGAAGACCAGGCGTGGACATACCGATTGATTAGGGCTCTGACCACGCGGCGGATGAACCCGTTTCTTCTTCTTGGGATGTTGCTGATCATGTTCGAGTTGCTCAAACTTCTTCTCTGCAGCTGCTATCTTCCGCTTCTCACGAGCCGACAGCTCCCCGTTATCGCGTCCAAGAGCACCAGGAGTTAGATCTCTGTTGGAATGGTGATCCTTGAGGGAGCCAGACGTTGATCGCGCATCAGCATGGTCATCATCATCTTCTTTACGAACAATCTCGCTGCCTGACCGACTGTGGGCGGCAACGTACCCCGAGCTATCAGGTGAAGCAGCAGTTTTTGTCTTGGCCTTCTTCCTGCGTCCGTTCACCTGCTTTGTGTTGGACTCCACCAGCGACTTTGGTTTCATGCGGCAGTCAATATTTGCCAGAAGACATGGTTTTACTGAATCGTCACAGGCGCAGCCACCAAAATGGGCAAGAACGTTACTTATTGAGATGGCAGCCGCATCTGGTGACCCATCCGGCAACCCTTCTTCCTTGACCAAGCCGTTGGAGGGAAACATCTTGGGATCAAGATACCAAGTGGTCGAGATCTCAGTGTCCATGGGGATATCCTGGTTTGCGACGAAGCAGAAATGGTACTCTACCTGGTTTGTGATGTAGGTTCGCATTGTGACGTTGGGACGACAAGACCGGCGGATGTACCGGAGTACAGTGCCTTCTTCCCTGCTGTCGATGTAGATGGGTAGCTGAGGGTGGAAGAAGACGAACGGTTCAGGGTGGCGAAGTTCCTGCCACCTACTGTCCGGGTCATGACAGTAGTCTCTGAAGTGGCCAACTTTACCTCTGACCTCGCCTACGATCTCGTCCTTGCGCACGTTGCTCTGCACCTTGAGACACTGCCAGGTTGGATGCCTGCCGTCGATTTCGACATGATTGTCGACAATGGTCTGCTTTGTGAGGGGTGGCCAGGTTGAAGGATCGAGCGGCTGATCGGTGTGATTGAAGACTTCTTTGGCGCTACGACCGTTTGCAACCTGGGCAAGGGCAAGAGGATCCTTTACCCACGAAGCCAGGTCGTTGGTGAGACCGATGGTACGGAAAAGATTCCCTTGCATGTCGAGGCTGGCATTGTCGTTGTCGTAGAGATGAAGGAACTCGGGGGAGTAAAGCGGGATTTGGGGGAAAGAAGAGCCTGGAGACTTGCCGTTGATATTGTTTCCACGCTTACGAGAGTCACCACCACCGACAGAGCTTATAGAGTTAGAAGAGCGGTGGGCTCCTCGTTGCTTCTTTGTCTGCTGAAGTTGTTGGCCTTGCTGGTGGTGATGATGGCCGTTCTCCTTCGAAGCCGTGGAGCCGGCTCGTTCATGCGAAGACCATCCGTTACGCTGGTCGCCACCGGCACCAGAGGGTGAGCCGATATCCTTTGGCTTTTTCTTCTGGCTCTTGGAGCCGGAACGACGACTTTTCCTCTGTTCGTCGGTGGCATTGCTGTTGGAGTCGTTCTGCTCCCGTAGCTTGCGCTGGCGCTCGGTGGCCCGCTTGCCGTCGAGGTGTCTGGGCTCGCAGTCGACGCAGTTGTGGATGTCCGGCACATTCTTCTTGTCAATGTAGTAGCAGGCGATGTGTTGCCAGGTATCGCAGCGTTCGCACAGGACGGTGCTGCCGTCGTCGTCCTCGAAGGAGCAGATGCACTTGATGGTGTAGGGCTCATCTTCTTCGGCTTCGTGGGTCGAACCAGTTCCGTTGGCGACCGGGGAGGGCAAGGGGGAGGTGGTGGCCGGAAACGGAAACGGATTCGCCGTTGAATGTGCGTGAGCAGTCGAGGAGGTATCTGTCATAATCTGACAACATACCTCCTCCGAGGTTCAACGATGGGGTGATGAAAGGGAGCCTCGACGCCAGCGAGGGGACATATAGAGAGGAGAAGCGCTTGAATCTTTTCTCCTTTCTCAGCTTTTTGCTCTCTCTGATCCCTTTTGTTGATATTTTTCTTAGCACTTTTGTCGTAAAGACGCAGAGCTGAGGAGGTTTGATAAGCCCAGGGGGATCAGGTCAAGGTCATCACGGTGCTGGCTCAATCGCAATCCACACCAAACGTGGACGGGAGGCGATCGCCGCGAGATGTATATACTGGCCGGCTCAGAGGCAACTGGCACGCTCGATAGAGACGATGCTGCCGATGGCCGTCGGGTGCTGGGTGGTCGATGGTCGTCCTTTTTCGTCTGTCGTCTGCCGTCCCCTCTGGCGGTCCTGTTTCGTGTTCAAGGGTCGTGAGTCGTGAGGCGACAGCGCAAGGCCTGGTCTTTACGCAGGTCACACCGGCTGCTGATATACTGAGGATGGACTCGAGGCTGTGCTGGCTGTTGACGAGGCGGAGAGCGACGATGAGGTCGAGGTTGGGGTTGAGACGAGAGAAAGAGAAAGAGAAGAAGAAGAAGAAGAAGCAAAAAAGTCACCAAAAAGAGCCAAAAAGGGCGAGAAAGGCGCAGAGGCCAGAAGCGGACTAGCGTGGAGTGGGAGAGACGCTAGTCCAATAACGGACTAGTGTATGCTGTGGCAGGCTAGACTGAAATAGGATTAGCGTCAGAGGTAAAAATAGAGCTAGTTTTATTTTTGCTTAGTCAGAAGATAAAATCACATGACTTAATGAGTCAGGACTTAGTCATCAAGTTTTAGGCTTTGGCGCGACTCAAGCTGAAACTCGCGAATGTCAGAAAGACGAAGAGCAAGAAGAAGATAAAAGACGACGACGACGATGGTGGCTGTGGAGAGGATAGACCAAGTAAAAGTAAAGCAGACGACAGGATAGAAGACGGGAGAGACATGAGGGGAGGCCGGAGGTGGCGGCGGCCTCTGCCCTGCTGCATGTTACATCCCTCTTGCAGGCGTCATTAGTCATGGAATCGAAGAATAGGGGCTCGCCCTCTGCCGCACCTCCTCCGCGCTCTCTCTCTGTGGATGTCGAGCTCCCATAAGTATCTAGCATCACCATCATCATCACCATAATCGCCCTTAGAGACTCCGTAATCGTCGCCGCTGCCTGCTCTTCCTTTGCTGCTCCGGCGGCCTGCCCTGTCTGATGCGTCTCTATCGCGGTGGATCTAGCCTCGACTATCTCCAATCGGGCAACTCGACCACACGAACTTCTCTGCTCCAACTCTGCGCTCTCCTTCACTCCTTCACTCCTTCACATCTCGTCTCCGCCAGCTCGTCATCGTCGCTCTTCTTCACCTTCGCCCTCTTCAGCTGCGTCGACCTCTAATTCCAACCCCCCCCCGGAAGACGCTTGACGCTCGCCCGCTGTCTCTCCTGCCATGCCTGGCGCCAGCTAAGGCCCCGTCCCGCCGTACCGTACCCGCTTCCCTCCTAACTAGCTACCCGGCACAAAGGAGAACGCTCTGCAACTACGTAAGGCCTGCTAATAAACCACCCTGAGCGCCTGCGCCGTGCCCGCATTTCCCCTCTGCCCATCCCAGCTGTGCAGACTTCTGTGCGAAGACACAGGCGAAGCGAAGAACGAGCAACCATGTCTGCCCTGAGCAAGCGTCAGCAGGCGCGCAACGAGCGGACGCTGCAGGATCTGATCACCTCCGTGCCCGGCAACGATAGGTGTGCCGACTGCCAGGCCAGGAATCCAGGTCGGTCTCATCTCTGTTATTATTATTATTATCTTTCTGGATGTTTTTTTTTTTAGCCATGCTAACGATGGATCGATACACAGGATGGGGAAGTTGGAATGTAAGCCGTTGACTCGAGTTCGCCGCTTGTTGTTGCTCACGTCTAATAACAGCCGTTCTGGTTAATATAGCTGGGGATATTCCTGTGCATGCGCTGCGCAACATTGCACCGTAAACTTGGCACCCACATTTCCAAGGTCAAGTCTCTGACCATGGACAGCTGGACGGCAGAGCAGGTTGAGGTGGGTTCTCCTGGTGGCTGACAAGTGACACTCCTGGCGTCGTACTGACACTTAACGGGCTACCACCAGACCATGAAAAAGAACGGGAACGTAGCTGTCAACAGGATATACAACCCGCGGAACATCAAACCCTCCATCCCCGTCGACATTGACGAGGTCGACTCGGTCATGGAGCGCTTTGTGCGCAAAAAGTACGAGCTTAGAGCCCTCGAGGATGGTAAACCGAAGCCGCCCAGCAGACAGGACCCGAGCTACACTTCAAGGCCTGCCGCCGACCTCTCTTTGCCTTCTCCTTCCTCCCCGCCTTATGCTGCGGCTACTCTGCCTTCCAAGCCCAAGTCGAGGTTCGCCTTTGGTCTGCGCTCGCTGTCTTCCTCTCACTCGTCCTCGCCAAGTTCAAGCAGGTCCGCCACTGTAACCCTCCCTTCCCTACGCCGGAGAGAGAGTCTCGAGACCTCACACGTTCATTCCGTTCCTCTACCGAATAACAAACAGTCTATGACACTGGGAGTTAGCATTGCAGATCGTAATGGCTCCCTGGAGTCGAAGCTCGAGAAACTACGGGAAATGGGCTTCATGGACGAGAAAAGGAACATGACCGTTCTCAAGGGGCTGAACGGTGATGTAGAACGCTGCATAGATACGCTGACCAGGCTTGGAGAGAAGTCGTCGATAGGTGGACCACGGTCTCCTACCTCTCCAACCGGTACACAGAGCGGCTATAGGACCTCCTCGGGCTCGACAGACATGTTCACCCCTCCGTCTAGCTCTTCGAATCCGTTTGATAAGCCGCCAACGAGCGTGGCTGCTGCTCCTCCTAATGGGAACGTAGGGATATCAATCAACAGATCGGCTACTGGGGGTAACACTCCGACAGAACAGAAGCCGGTCTCCCATAACCCATTCGACGCCCTAGACCAGTCATTCCAGAACCTTCAGGTTTCCTCCCAACCCTTATTCCCCAACATGACGGGCGGTTATCCAAGCCAGCAGGCCAACTTACAGCTGTCCAGAGCTCAGCAGACCATGACACCTCCTGTTCCATCGATCCCCCATCAGCACCAGTTCCTACAACTGCAACATCAACAACAGCAACTACAGCAGCAGGGCTATGGCTCAGTAGCTCAGTCGCCTATGCACGGACACTATAACCCGTTCATGTCGCACTCTACGCCGGCAACACCGTATGCTGGAACTCCCACCCAACCGCTGTCACCTACAAACCCTTTCTTCACGCAGCCACAGCCGCAGCCGCAGCAAAATGGGCTTCAGCAAGGAAACACTTCACCATTCACCCTCCAGCACCATAATACCATGCCAGCCCTCTCTCCTCCATACATGTACCAACAGCCCCAGCAGCCTCAACAGCCTCAACAGCAGCAGCAGCAGCAGCAGCAACCAATCTATCCCATGCAACAACAGCCTGCTACTGCTATGCCTGCATACCAACAGCTCAAGCAACAACAGCCCCAGCAGCCAAACAGGATTGATAAATCCAGCATCCTTGCACTCTACAATTTCTCTCAACCTCCTCCTACCATCCCCGAACAACCACAACCACAACCACAACAGCAGCAACAGACCCAGCAACAACCTCAACTATCGCACCTACAAACAAATACCCCATTCTCCGCAAACCCATACCAGACCGCCACCAATGCAAGCCCGATGATCCAGTCCGCCCCTGCAACCGCCACAGGCACATACGCGAATCACAATCCCTTCTTCACGCCTACCAATGCAGCTCCTAGCCAGCCAGCCAGCTTCGTCCCTACGGCACCAACTCAATCACAGGGCCCTGCACCTCTCGCACCGGCACCGAATAACATGGGCTTTTCACGAACCCACGTCAGCCAGGAATCCATCGATATCAGACAGGCTCACAGTGGCCGCCACAGCCCTGATATCTTCACCAGTTTAAGCGCCAGATATTAAGCACTCCCCTTTCAAGCGTACCGTACATACATTAAATTCATTGCATACATATATCCATACATAAACCATTGAATTGCCAGCGATACCACGAAAACAGAAAAAGAAAACCGCATTGATATATAGCCTGTTTGTCAGTCGGCAAGCAACACTTGAATTCCCATTCGAAAAAAAAGATCATCGTTACCTTCCGCCTGTCTCGTTGCCTTTATGCATTTTTGCCCCTTTCTGCCTGATAATGAAATGAGCTTGCGGGTCCGTCTCTTGACTCTCTTCTAATCTCTTCCTAGCCTACCTTTTCTTCCGGGGGCTACTTATCTGATACCATTCTCTCTTCTTGTTCTCATATGTTCGTTTACTTCCTTCTAACACCATCGCACACACTGCAATGCATAAGTGGATGGATGATGGGACCCGGCACCTTTTTTTTTTTTTTTTTTTTTTTGGCTTTTTTTACCTGAAACCACTTTATTCACTCCTTGTTTTTCACTTTGCGTTTAGGAGGTAACATACAGCTCCTATCCTTTCTAGTTTCTATTACTATTCTACATGATCAGTCACCCTCGCTCTCACTTCTCTTCTCTTCTTTGTATAACCAGTACCCTTTTCGAATCTGGCTATTTATCTTCTTCCGTTCTGGTCTTACTGCTTTCATTACAATGTTTGAAAATTTTGTCCTCGGTTTATTCTATCTGATTGCTTATTTGCTGCAGGGACACTACAGTTTCAAGCTTCTTATTACAGATAGACCTTATACTTAGCTATGATATGAGCGTTTTGCTATGCCATGTTATGACTTTTGCTCCTGTTCGTATGCGTAGGGATATGGTGAGACAAATGTCTGCCTTACGATGCAAAGCTGACTGAATACCGGGCTAATATCAATTTATGTATTACAAAATTAAACGACTATCTAGGTATGTTCATCCGTTTGTATGTAGGTATGTATGAATGTATAGCCAAGTTGGGAAGGGTTGTTGTATAAAAAGGATAGATCCAGGGAGGGAGAGAGTCTATACGGCGCCAGACAGTCATAGTGATTTTTCAAGACCACAGATCGCGCTGTGCATTCGTTGCTTGCCGTCGGGCAGTCATCCTCTGGTACATTGAGACAATATTGTCTTTCAGCTGGAAAATTGGAGCCTTGCGTCGGCGCTGCCACGGCCAGTTCCATTGCTGAGATCGTCGTTTACTCAATGACCATGATGAAAATGGAGATGAGAGCGAAGGAAGCGAAAACGAGGTCTGGAACGAGGAGAATATGTCTTGTGTCTTCTTTGTCTCTGGTGAACTGCTGCTGCTGCTCCACCAAGGAACCCAAGATGAGTCTGACTGTGGCTGGGCAACACTGTCTTGTTCTCTGGCTAAGACATCGATGATCCGGTCGAAGCTACGCTGTTGCTGCTGTTGCTTTTGCTGCTGAGATGAAGGTTTCTCGCTTTTAGGCATAGTTTTGCGAATCTGGCTGGTCCGCCAGTCCGATTGGATCTTCGGATCACGACACCAGACTATCACGTCTCCCTTTCGGCGTGCGTCGTCATGCCAGGCCGTGTTGAAAGTGCGATAGCATTCGGCGTATGAAGATGAAGAGCGAACATCTTGTTTGAGTGTTGGCTCTAGATGGGAGAAGAAGATAAGGTAGTCTGGCCAATCATGCTTGTGAGTAGACGCAGATGAGAAATGCTTAGAGATTATTCCAGTGCTAGCCATATGCTGGGATAGGAACTCAGAAGGGTTATTGTAGAATTGGTCTGCTTCATCGACGTAGGTGGCTTTTTCCTCTGGGGAGAGATTGACAGGTGGTTCACAGCCCAGAGCCCAGGCGCGGATGTGAGGAGATACCAAATGTGACCGCCAGGGAGTGCTATGGCATGGCATGAGAAATCCCGCAGTAAGGCCACGGGAGGGCTCATACTGGTAATGGGTATCCTGTTGTACACGGAGGTATCCGAGTACATCAATGACACCTGAGGCGTGGATAATGGTGGTATATGCGGCAATGGTAACGTTGACCAGCACTAGGAATATCAAGAGAAGTCTCCGCGGGGTATATGATCCAGAAGCGGAAGATATGGAAGGAGTGAAGAAGTTGGATACTGGAGCGGCAGCGATGATGTGAAGACAGGGTAACAGGGGGTATATGAAGCGGACTTCCTTGTGAGGGACAAGAGAGAGGATTGCCGGCATTGCAATGCAGGCAAGTGATAGCTGCCGTCTGACTGCTGCGGCCAGACTGGTAGAGCAAGATTGTTCCGACGCCATGAACAATGACTGGAACATGCCGATGAAAGCAAATGGGAGAGCAGTGATGAGCAGAAGAGGGTATCCCTGTGAGAGATAGTAGTGCCAATCATTTCTGCCGTAGAAGACGGCAAGGGACTGGACTACATTGAAATAGAGGAATCTGAAGGGCGGAAGTGTCCATGTTCCATAATAGGCACGATCTGCTAGGACGGAGATGGCTAGGATGGAAGAACTACCTTTTGCGTCAGTTGATGACATCTACATGTTGGCATGTCAAGACTTACCCGCAGAGGATGCATTCTCTAAGAAGAATGATGAGGGGTTCTAGGGACTTGGTCCACGACGGCCGTGATGTCTGGCTCTGGCGGAGAGTGATATATACCAGATTCGCCGCCAGACAGAACCATATAATGGTATTAGTCGGGCGTAGGACACACGCCAGCGAGGCAAGGATCAGACATATCCTCAGGCTAGACCTATTAGTCTGGGAACATATGTAGACATGTATGGGTGTAGCATACCTGGTAACGTCTCTAGTGGTAACCAGCGGCCACCTGCCACGGAGAGACCACTGCCACGGCCACAGATACAAGGCCGTGACGGTAAGGGAGGTCTCTAGACAGTTTGATAACGTCCGAGTAGAGCAGAACCACTGCCAGGGACTCAACACCGTCAAACCTAGCTGCTCACCCAGTCAGAATAAAAATGTACATCCTCCCCTAAAGCCCGGGGGAAAGAAGGGGGGAAGGAGAGTCTCACGATCCAAGTGCTCTCTGGCCTGCCATTGTATATCCGCCTGCCCAAATTCCAGGTGTAATAGTCCCCCACGGCGGAGATGATGCCTTGAACAACCTTGGGCCCCGCTATCAGGAGGTCACCCCGTAGTAAGGGGGAGAGCTGGAGCACGTTGGCCACCGCATCTACGGCTTTGTAGACGGCCGCAAAGATGTACAGGTGAATCGACGACCGCAGCCGATGCTCCCATTCCTACAGAACGCCCAAATGTCAGCAGCCAGCACCTCCCGCATCTTCCTTTCTTTTCCATCCTGTCTCTCTCTTTTTTTTTTCTCTCTCTGTTTCTGCTCTTCCGGGGTGGGGGATGCATACCCATGTAATCCAAGCGCCACTGTCCCGGCCAAAAGCAATCCCCCATGCGGGCTCGAGCGACTGGAAGAACTCGTCTGGCTGGAAGAACGTCCGGACAAGCAGGGCGTTAGCGATGCGCAGGGCCAGCAGCAGGAGGAAAACGTCCGCCGCCCGCCGTCCCTGCTGGTGCCCCTGGCTGCTACCGCCGTGGGCCCTCGAGGCAGCACTCCGCGCCTTTGGCATCGTTCCGCGCGGGAAAAGGAGGCGACCACTCGACTCGCTACCAGCGTTTCCCTCCCTTGGCCGGCGGAGGAACTCTCTGAGCAGCGCAGGGAGTTTAACTAGGTTAACAGGCTAGGAAAAGAAACGAAACAAAGCACAAGCAGACGAAGAAGAAAAGGACCAAAAAAAGACCCGAAAGATGTCGTCCAGAGGGCGCGATGATGTCAGGATCCATGTGACCCGCCGGCTTTCTTACTCACGGGCGGCCTGATTCGCCGCCGCCGCTGCGCTTCGTTGCTTTTTTCTTCTTTTCTTCGTCTGCGGCCCTTGAGATGGAGCAGGACGGTGGAGTTGCTGGTGCGAGTCACCTTCACTTAACGGCATAGCGTGCTGGACGGGGAGGATACTATCGGGGGAGGGGGAGTGGCAGCGTTGCGCCAGCTAGGGCCATATATAAACTGCGCGGGACGCCCGGGGGGGGGGGGGGGGGGGGGGAATGTCTTTTTCTCTATATTCCTTGTCTTAATCCTCATTGTGAACATTTTTTTTTTTTTTTTTTTTTATGCTTTGTTGTTTTTTCTATTTTTTCTTTCTCTTTTAGTATTTTTTTTTTTCGGGGTTATACGATTGTTTGAATTGTTAAGATATTGGATGTAGGCAGATAGAACCTCCCTAGACCCCCCCCCGCTCTCCCTCCAAGACGAACAAGATACCCAGATATTGCAGGCAGAAGACCCAAGAACAAGCTACAAGACACCGGATACAAGACACAGTGACAGACAGAATGGCTCCAATGGCGACTCAGGAGGTTCCGGGCAGCAAGGACGTCTCGAGGTACCACGCCTCGTCGACCAAGTCCGCCATCGCGGAGGAGGCCCAGTACGCCGCCCACAACTACCACCCGCTGCCGGTCGTCTTTGCGCGCGCATCAGGCACCTCCGTCTGGGACCCCGAGGGGAAGCACTATCTCGACTTCCTGTCCGCCTACTCCGCCGTCAACCAGGGCCACTGCCACCCGGAGCTCGTCAAGACCCTGACCGAGCAGGCCGCAACCCTCACTCTCAGCTCCAGGGCCTTCTACAACGATGTCTTCCCCAAGTTCGCCAAGTTCGTCACCGAGTATTTCGGCTACGACATGGTCTTGCCCATGAACACCGGTGCTGAGGCCGTCGAGACCGGTATCAAGATTGCCCGCAAGTGGGGGTACAAGGTCAAGGGCATCCCGCCAAACGAGGCCATTGTCCTCAGCGTCGAGAACAACTTCCACGGACGTACCGTAAGTGCTCATTTGGTATAACAAGGATGGAGGTCGGGAGGAGGGTGCTAACTGCTCTGTATCACGATAGTTCGCTGCCATCTCCATGTCTACTGACCCCGAGTCGAGGGAGAACTACGGCCCTTACCTGCCAAACATCGGTAGTGTCATTCCCGGCACCAACAAGCCCATCGTATACAACGACAAGGAGTCTCTCCGCCAGGCCTTCGAGGCTGCCGGCCCCAAGATTGCTGCGTTCCTCCTCGAGCCCATCCAAGGTGAGGCTGGCATCATGGTCCCTGACGAGGACTACCTCCGCGAGGCCAAGGCTCTCTGCGAGAAGCACAATGCTCTCTTGATCTGTGATGAGGTTCAGACCGGCATTGCTCGTACCGGAAAGCTTCTCTGCCAGGAGTGGAGCGGCGTCAAAGCCGATCTCGTCCTCCTTGGCAAGGCCATCTCCGGCGGCATGTACCCCGTCTCCTGCGTTCTCGGACGCAAGGACGTCATGCTTACTGTCGAGCCCGGCACACACGGCTCCACCTACGGTGGTAACCCACTCGGCTGTGCCATTGCCATCCGCGCTCTGGAGATCATCCGTGAGGAGAACATGGTTGAGCGTGCCGAGACTCTAGGACAGCAGTTCCGTGCTGGTCTGAACGCTATCAAAGACCCTATGATCCAGACTGTTCGTGGCAGAGGTCTGTTGAACGCCCTCGTCGTCGACGAGTCCAAGACCAACGGACACACCGCTTGGGACCTATGCATGCTGATGAAGTCCAAGGGCCTTCTTGTAAGCCATCATCTTACCTTCCTGGTAGTACTATGTAAACATATCTTTTAACTAATATCTCCTAGGCCAAACCAACCCACCAGAACATCATCCGATTCGCTCCTCCACTTGTCATCACCGAGGCGCAGATCAAGGAATCACTCAAGATCATCGAGGAGGCCATCAAGGAGCTCCCAAACTCCCCAAAATAAACGCCTAACTTCGCCGCTCCTCTCACAAGAACCTTCTCCACCTTTTACGACCCCGTCTTACTACAGCCGCATTGCATACTTCTTCTCTTTTACTCTTTCGGATGAAGCTTAATGATTCTCCAAAACGATTTTTCTTTTCCAACTCAAATCATATCTTCTGAAAAGCAACAGCGCATCATGTCTTCATGGTTTATTTAAACGGCTAAAGGGAATAGTCACTCGGGACTATAGGAAAAAAGGGGGAAAGGGAACACCAAAAAAAAGGAGGAGGAAGAAGGGGCCTAACTATGGCCGGGGCAGGATTCTTGTCGTCTTTTGCTTTACACATATACCCCTTTTTTACCCTCGCGAGCGGAAAGTTAGAATACTATCTGAGAGGAGTTGTGTAGGATCATACATATCACTTCATGGCGAAGGGAGTCTGTTTCCGGTGTATTCTATATGCCGCGGGGCACAGTGTAGTGAATATCTTTTTTTCCTAAACTAGGAATAGACTGTATGCTCAAGGCCCTGACCTTCACTACGTCTCTTACTCGATCCATTCGTTCTCCGTCAAGTAGTTCATTAGCACCATTGGTGTCAGGGCTCCGAAAGCATCACAAACACAAGCCCGATTTCAAAATACACTGCATAGCAGACATGGAATTATACGCGGCAAGCTCGCCAGACCGTTGAATCATGCAGGCATCCTAGCCGTCAGCCTTCGGACGCAAGGTTGAAGTAACTAGACCAAGCAACCAAGTCGGGCCTCCATGCTTCGTCTCATGCATGAACACATCACATCACCCCGTCCTTCCATCCGATAACTACCCAGGCCAGCATCTCCCGACTCCTGCCCTAAGAACCACCCGCCTTCAACTATCACCAACATATAATAGATCCCCAGGTCGCGGACATCGGAGCAATAAGTCGCTAGCTATAGGAGAACAAGCCATCCGCCAGGGCTACCTCTTTTAAGGTTGTGGGGCCTCGCCGGCCGATCTCCCAGCAACTTTGTTCCGACCGCCAGGCTGGCTGGGACGACGACATGGACGCAAACAAGCCGGACAGGCTCCAGGGTGCAGCGGCCAGAGCGCAGAGTTCAGACAAGGGATGCAGTGCTATGGCCTGGCGTGCGACATCCGGCCTCTGATCGGTCCTATGATACCCGTTACCTTACCCTGCATGTCCGGGGCCGTTGTCGGGAAGCTGCAGGGCTGCAGGTAGCAGAGCAAAGAGCAGCGTACGGCATTACGGCGGGATCACGGATATATCTAACCTCAAAGGACTCAACAAACTGCCGGTCTTGAATAACTGGATATTCAGTTTTGGTTGATACTACAAAACCCGACGATGGACTTGCCCCTGGATGCATTGATTGCCCGAGAGCGTGGCAGCTCTGTTCCTCAGTGTAGGCAAGATAGCTTATCTTTCCTTTTTAACCGGGTATTCTGGTCTCAGGCTGACAGTAGTTGGCCCTCGATAGGAGTCTTACTACGAGGCAATCAAGAATGGCGTCTACCTGTGGGAAATATCAAGCAATCTTGGTAAATATGGCGAGAGCCTACACAATGCTCTAACATGGTAAACTGTGTTCTAGGAGGCAGAGGGCTCAAATCACAAGATTCAATCCATCTGGACTTTATATTTGAGATTCCAATTTTTATCGGTCAATCTACACTGATGGCATATGCCACTGGAGAAAATATCCTTCCATTGCTACCGCTTATATTATATCAATGAGGGTCTTGCAACAATTGACCACGATCAATACCATTTACAAAGAGGGTTATTGAACCCATACTTTGAGTAGTGTGTTTTCCCTAATGTTGAGCCAGTTACCCATAATCGCATATACGGGCTTTTGAACGGCTAGGGAGCGTTTCTGGCCACAAAAATATGTTAACTTGCATTTCGCTTTACGGTCGGCTCATATGCTATCCCTGCTGCAGCCTACCTTCATTGAAGGTCCTCCACTTTATTTACCACATCTTCATGATTGCAAACTGCACACAAGATTTAAGTCAACCACTGCCAATGCCTTGAATGACTCTGATATCGCGGTAAAGGGGGTGGCACTGGACTGGATACAGATGAGGGGCCTAGAGGCTATTTTGTGGAACAGAGGCCGCTGCTCGGCTACGATGTTTTAATCCCTTGCGAAACCATAAGGCTATTCGGAAGCTATGCGACAAATCCGGGGTTTGCAGACGAGGAGACCGCTGTGTGGTCTACTATTCAACCAGAAGGTTGCTAGTACCTAGTATTCAAACTTACTATCCAATCCATTCCTCCCCTAATAAGTGCTGAACATGAACTGCAGGGTGTGAGCCACGTCCAGCAATTGGCCCCTGAACACCCTTGCTTGTTGCTATCCATAAAAGCCCACGGGTACAATAGTCACGGTACTTTATTCCAACAGGGGCAATCCTTCCGAAGATCATCGTTGGCCTTTCTCCAAAGGCTACTTATTGTTGATACACTCTTACGCACCTGTCAACCAATCAACATATTTGTTCATACGGACCTTGCTATTGTTTCCAATCCTTTCACCTTCAGTCCCGAACTTTGGATAACGAAGATCGAGCGAGCTATCAAATCGGATTAGTTCCTGGACTCTCTTATTTAGATTACTCGTCAATGCGTGGGGGGTCACCCTAGCATCTGTCCAACCATCATTGACGATCGCCGACTAGTTAGGCATTTCAAGATAAAGGAACTCAAAAGACCGTTCCAAGAGCTTTCGAAAACCTATCATATACGCTACCTGAGCCATGGTAAATCAGGATATATCAAGGCCATGCTGAAGAAATCTCTCCAACTGTTACCTAAAAAATCGACTTCCGACAAGATTGTTGTCGATGGCCGTTTTATCCTGACAATGGTCTAATCAGATGTTCAATTATTGACACTCGATTCTTTCCAATTTCAAGGTTTTGGGCCGACAGCTTATCTATATTTCTTTATCTCCAACTTGAATCCAGCACTATACTGCATATATATCCATATATCTTGAAAATGCACAGCCAAATGGTTCCAAGCTTCCTCTTCAATCTGGGGCCAGGGAATCTGCATACTATGCATTAGGTATAAATGAGGCTATTTCAACTATAATCAAACCCGATGAAATGTACACGTCTAGGTTGGCATTACCTCCGGCTCATTACGTTTCACGAGGCTGGTTGGGCCACAAATAGATATTTCAACTGATGTGAACTGACGGTATCAATAAACTACTCCTTTCTCAGGGGTTTTCGACTTATTGCTGATTCACTCTGGTCTACAGCAGCTGCCAAATCAAAGGCGACATCGGGATGACTAGACAAGGCTCCTTCTGACTTGCCATAAATGATATGCGTTGGTGGTACCTAACTCGAGAGGTCTAGCTATCCTTCGGCGGATTTCTTTCACTTAGCCGCAATATATTTTGAACACTGGCCAGAACCCTCGCTACTCATGCAAAGTTTCCGCCCTCGGAGTTAACAATAATGCTGACAAGCCGCTTAGCACGATAATGTCTTCAAGGGTCATGAACGGATGAAACTCATCCGAGTTTAAAGCCGGGATTACGAGCTGCTTGATCCCGGACGAAGTTGAACCCCAACAGCATGCGAATTACTAAGCTAAATCAAGCTTTGCCGCTGACCAACAGGTAAAAACAGAGAAGCGACGACAGAATGACCGAGCTCAAAGTCGGCTGTAAAGGGCTTTTCGGACTTTGATGACTCCAGTGGCCAGGGTGCAAAAGCTGACGCCCAACGGTTTCCGAGACGGTCAAGCCGCTTTAGCTAGTTATATTTATAACTGCGCTGGTCTCCCGGCCTGTCATTGCTAGGATAAACGACATGCAGCGCCCACCCAGTATAACATTTGTGACCACCATGGAAGGCTAAGAGAAGGCCTATCTAGAGATCGAACGTCTATTAAACTAGTTAACTGTTTATATTTACTGCCTGACATGCCGTCAGCAGTGGCTGGCAAAGATAGCGGCCGCCACAGTATGACGAACAAAGAGATCGACGACGGCGGCAGAAATGGCGACCAGAATAAATCCGATGGTGGAGGAAAGGGAGTAGACTCGGCCTATGAGAATAAATTGCGATGGTATCAAAGGTTGAACCCGATCAGACTTCAAAAACCGCCGCCTGTGCCGACAGAGCGAGCAATTTCAAAGGAACATGGAGCCAGCCTGCTAAGTGTCATCACATTTCAATGGATGCACCCGTTGATGATGGTGAGCTTTCTTCCTGGTATAATTAATGTGCTGCATTTAATAACGACGTTCTATCTAGACGGGCTACCTCCGGCCCCTCCAATTGCAGGATATCTGGCTGGTAAATCCAGACAGGTCCGTCGAAGGACTTTCTGCGAAACTTGAAGCTTCTTTTCAAAAAAGAATTGAACGTGGCGACAAACATCCTCTACTCGGAGCTGGGTATGAGACATTCAAACCTGAGATATGGATCGGTGCATGCTGTCAGATGGTTTCTTGCGTTCTCCAGGTTCTCACGCCTTATACCACCAAGTATCTGATTGCATTCGCAACGGAAGCATATATTGCACGGCATAAACATGCTCCTGGCCCTCACGTTCGCAACGGAATTGGAATTGCAATCGGCATTACTGTTATGCAAATCGTCCAGAGCGTGACTACAAGCCAATTTTTCTTTCGAGGAATGATGGTTGGCGGACAGGCTCGGGCTGTCCTTGTTAGTATGATATTTTCCAAAGCAACGAGGTTATCTGGTAGAGCCAGAGCCGGTGGGAAGGCTATCAGCTCAGGAGAAACGAGAGCAAAAGCCGCCGAGCAAGACACCGAACTTCGAAAGGCTCGGAATACCATTTTGACATCGATTTTCAACAAGAAGAAGCATGTTGGACCGACGAACGCAGCCTCTGGTGTGATGGGCGATGGAACCGGATGGAGCAATGGTCGTATTGTCACGTTGATGAGCGTGGATACCGATCGAATAGACAAAGCTCTGGGCCTATTTCACCTTCTCTGGACGTCACCTATCATCATTATCCTTGCTCTCATTCTTCTCCTGGTAAATATCGGATACAGTGCTCTTTCGGGGTATGCTCTTTTGGTTGCAGGAATCCCGTTGTTGACGCACGCTATAAAGTCCCTTATCAGAAGACGAAAGAAGATTAACAAAATCACCGATCAGAGAGTATCACTGACCCAGGAGATCCTTCAAGCTGTGAGGTTTGTTAAGTTCTTTGGCTGGGAGCAGAGTTTCTTGAAACGCCTTGACGAACTTCGTAAGAGAGAAGTACGTGCAATTCAGGTTGTACTCGCTATTCGCAATGTTCTTCTTTGCATTGCATTATCTCTCCCCGTCTTTGCCTCTATGCTCTCCTTCATCACATTCTCTCTCACCGAGCATCCCCTTAACCCTGCCCCTATATTCTCCTCCCTGGCTCTATTCAATACCCTTAGACTGCCATTGAATATGTTACCCTTAGTGCTTGGCCAGGTTACCGACGCATGGACTGCCCTGAATCGAATTCAAGACTTTTTACTTGCAGAGGAACAAAAGGACAATATTGAACGGGACGACTCTCTGGACAATGCACTAGAGATTGACAATGCCTCGTTTACCTGGGAACGACTTCCAACAAGTGAAGAAGACTCACTCAGCAAAAAGGGATCCGGAAGCCACAAAGGAAAGGTCAAGTTGACTAAAGATATGGAGAAAGAGAATGCTGATTCGGGTCTTCAAAGCCCTACGGAGCCATTCCAACTTACCAACCTGTCCTTTACTGCCGGCCGAAACGAGCTCATTGCCGTCATTGGTACAGTTGGGTGTGGTAAGAGTTCCCTGCTTGCAGCTCTTGCAGGAGATATGCGAATGACGGGAGGTCATGCATCTATGGGAGTGTCTAGAGCCTTTTGCCCGCAATATGCTTGGATCCAAAACGCAACAGTGAAGGAAAATATCCTGTTTGGCAAAGAATACGACGAGGTCTGGTATAACCAAGTCATCGATGCTTGCGCCTTGAGAGCAGATCTCAAAATGTTACCTAACGGAGACCAAACGGAGATTGGAGAACGAGGGATAACAATTTCTGGAGGTCAAAAGCAGCGACTGAATATTGCTCGCGCGATATATTTCAATAGCTCGTTGGTTCTTTTAGACGATCCTCTTTCTGCTGTGGATGCCCATGTTGGCCGTCATATCATGGATAACGCCATATGCGGACTTTTGAAAGACAAATGCCGTATTCTTGCTACGCATCAGCTCCATGTTCTTAGCCGATGTGACCGAATCATATTGATGAATAACGGCCGCATTGAAGCTATTAATTCCTTCGACAACCTTATGCGCCATAATGATAGTTTCCAGAAGCTCATGTCGTCGACCATGCAGGAAGATAAACAAGACAATAAAGAGACTACAAGGAACAATAATGGAGCCGCTGAGGTGGCTAGACCATCAGAAGGGGAGAATGGAGCATCAGGCAAAGCACCGAGTGCTTTGATGCAAAAGGAGGAAAGGGCGGTAAATTCCGTCAGTTGGAAAGTTTGGAGAGCCTATATTTCAAACTTCGGCTGGCCCATAAACCTCCCTATAATTGTCCTCGGCCTAATACTTGCAAATGGCGGTACAATTGTCAATGCCTTATGGCTCTCTTACTGGGTATCCAGAAAATTTGACTTTTCCACGGGAGCATATATCGGGGTATACATTGCTCTGGGTGTTGCACAGGCGCTTTGTCTCTTCATTTTCTCAACCACCTTGACAATAAGCGGAACAAACGCGAGCAAAGCTATGCTTTCTCGAGCTATCAATAAGGTCTTGCGAGCTCCAATGTCATTCTTCGACACCACGCCCCTGGGCCGAATGACAAACAGGTTTTCAAAGGATATACATACCATGGATAATGATTTGACAGATGCGATGCGCACGTTTTACCTGACCTTTGGCTTAATTATTGCTGTGATCGCTTTGATCATTGTATATTTCCACTATGTAAGTCCTTGGTTTTCGAATTTCCGGATTGAAACGAAAGTATCATCGTGCTAACGCTAAAATAGTTTGCCATTGCGCTGATACCGTTACTTATAATATTTCTATTCGCAGCAAATTTCTATCGGGCATCTGCAAGGGAACTGAAACGTCATGAAGCTGTGCTTCGATCAGAGGTCTTCTCGCAGTTCACTGAAGCCATATCGGGAACAGCATCTATAAGGGCATATGGACTCCAGGATTATTTCACAAAACGGCTTCAGAAGGCTGTTGACAACATGGACAGTGCATACTTCCTTACCTTTTCTAACCAGCGATGGCTTACCGTCCGACTGGACGCCGTTGGTTGGCTAATGGTTTTTGTAACAAGTATATTAGTTGTTACATCGAGATTCAACGTGGATCCAAGCATCTCGGGACTAGTGCTTTCGTTCATTCTTTCAATTTCACAGCTGCTACAGTTCACCGTCCGTCAGCTAGCCGAAGTAGAGAACAGCATGAATGCGACAGAGAGAATCCATTATTATGGAACCAAGTTGGAAGAGGAGGCCCCACTGCACCTACGCCAGATGGATGAAAACTGGCCACAATCCGGCCAAATAACTTTTAAAAGTGTTGAGATGAGATATCGTGCTGGTTTACCACTTGTTCTCCAAGGACTTAATCTGGATATTAAGGGAGGGGAACGGGTTGGCATTGTCGGGAGAACTGGAGCAGGCAAATCTAGTATTATGTCCGCCCTGTTCCGCCTGACTGAGCTTTCAGGGGGTTCGATTATGATTGATGGTATTGATATTTCCACTATTGGCTTGCATGATCTGCGGAGCAGATTGGCCATCATCCCACAGGACCCTGTCCTGTTTCGTGGAACGGTACGATCCAACTTGGATCCTTTCAACGAACACACTGATCTTGAACTTTGGTCTGCTCTGCGGCAATCCCACATTATCAACGAAGAAAATGAGAACAATAGCGACACTGAGAGCAATGAAAAGGGCGCAGCGTTACTTGAAAGCGATCACCAGCCGCAACAGCAACAAAAGATCCATCTTGATACTGCGGTAGAAGAAGAAGGATTGAATTTCTCTCTTGGTCAAAGACAGCTAATGGCACTGGCCAGAGCCTTAGTGCGTGGCTCGCGTATCATTGTTTGTGATGAAGCTACTTCTTCTGTCGATTTCGAAACAGATCAGAAAATACAGGAGACGATGGCAATTGGGTTTAAGGGCAAGACGCTCCTATGCATTGCGCATCGTCTTCGAACGATTATCAATTATGATAGGATATGTGTAATGGATCAGGGACGAATAGCGGAAATGGATACTCCGCTTAATCTATGGGAGAAAGAGGGGTTATTCAGAGGAATGTGTGAGCGGAGTGGCATCATCAAGAGTGATTTGACAGGGAGTATAGAAGGCTAGTTAAGCCACCCATCCTCAAGGGATATTTGACACATTAATAAATCCTATCCCGAGGCTATCTCGAGTAATATAGTAGCGATGATATACCTTTTTTTTTTTTTTTTTTATTTCTAGTTTCGTTGATATATAGTTATCTGATAGCCGTAGGGACACATCTGATAAAAAGAATCTTGAGAAATACGTAAATAACGTAAATAATATCCCCATCTCATTGACCTGAGCCTCATTATGCCATTATATTAAGCTGTTAGTGCTATTATTAGTGGCTCGGTCTTCGTCTTCTGAAAGCATAGCATGCTCAAGGTTGACTTTTGGCCCCTTGAACCATTTCCTTGCACTAATAATCCACCACAAAATGATACCAGCCATCGGGCCACCATATACCACACAAGTCCAATTCATATCCGCCAGCCTGTTGACACGTTAACCTCATTCCTCTAGATTGCAAGAAGACGATGGAGACTCATAGACTTACGTTAATTCAGAACCAGCAACCTTCGGGAAGCAGACGATTGGCAGCATTATTACCACAAAAGATACACCAGGTATCCCTATGAAAGCTGTATACTTTCCTAAGTTCCACGGTCCAGCGCGGAATCTTTGGCTGACAAAGGAAATTCGAATAGCGATCGGTATTGAAAATGCGATTAACGCTGAAATACCACCAATGGAAAACAATGCACCCATTGCGACATCACCGGCAAATATGAGGAGCGTAGATAGAATCCCTAAAACGCAGTTGAACCACACCGCATTTACTGGAGTCTGGGTGCAAGGGTTGATTTTTTTCCAGATGTTGGAAAAGGGAAAGCAATCGTCACGAGAGTAAGCATAGGTTACGCGCGAAGCGGATATCATACACGCTTGACCCATCGAAAAGCCACAGATCACAGTTCCAGAAAGAATTGCAAGGGCTAGTTTAGTTGGCATGACCTGGAATACGTATGAAGCCCATGGCTGTCCAAGTTCCGAGTCTATAACTTCATCTATATCTCTCACTGTGTAGGCAACCACAAGTTGAAGGAACCAGCCCATGATGCCACCAATCCCGGATGTCATGACGATCGCCCTTGGAGAAGCAATGTTGGCATTGGAGCATTCCTCGCTTAGATGGAAGGGAGAATCGTATCCGGACATGATCCAAATAACGCTTAAAAAGGACATCATAACTGCGAACCAATCTGGGTAAGAGGTACGGTTGTGGATCGTTCCCCAGACATATTCTGACGAATTGAACCTAGGAACATTACTTGTTCCCACTGGTATTGCAATGATGACAAGGAACAAACAAATTATATTGAATGTCGATCCGTATGAGTTCAGTTCTGCCAACCATTTTGTTGACATACTACTCATTATTCCGTGGATTATCATCAATAACATTGTTAACAGAAACTTATGAAAGGGTTGTGGAACGTAACCTGAATGGGTAACTGATATGGCCGCTAAAATCATTCCGGATATGCCGTAGTTCACGGACGGCGCAGCCGTCACCTGGGCCATCCAGTTCGACCACCCTGTTATCCAGGCTGCAAATGGGCCCCAACCAGCCGGAGCCAGTACTGCAGCGGCATAATAAAGTCCTCCGCTGACCGAAAGGTGTCAGCGGAACTTCATCGGGTATTAAAGAAATTTTTGGTAAAATGGTATTGGGATGGAGGTTATTTGCTATACCTTGTTGGCATCGAAGAGCATAGCTCCGCCATGGACATGGCAACACATTGAAGAAATATCATTGCGATGAGCCAGCCCCATACCATTGAAGTGCCGGCATATCCCATCCCTAGTGTATCAATTTAACATTTAGCGCACTCACGGGCCTTTGCAAGGCAACCTGGCAGAAGTGTGCCTTGACGTACTATAACTCATTGTGCTCGCATACGAAGGTAGTAGCCCGAGTATTGAGAAACTGACACAAAAAGTTGTCCATAGGGAGAACTCGCGCTTAAATTCCTGCTTGTACCCGAGGGAGACAAGCACTCGTTCATCATCATCCATCTCATTTTGGCGGGCTGCCTCAGCGCTACCTTCAGGCAATATCGATGTTGTTTGAGAACCAATGTACGCCCTGGGCAGCTGAGCTTTGCTTAGAGTCATGGCTGGTGTATATACGTTCCGTATTCAGCGGTGATCCAGTCTATCAGCAAGGAGAAAAGAGAGAGATAGGAACTTGACGATTCTAGAGCTGCGCAACACTCGGGGTAGGCCACATTTTGTCCCATGCAACATGCGAGGACTCTGTGTAACCATACCACCGGACAGGGAAGATGCCGTTTGCACGGCGTATTGGAACCCTCTACGCCAAAGTACTCCGTACACTCCTCGGTATTTGTGCCCATGTTGACTTTGCCTGGTATTTTAACACTAAGGAAGAAGCAATGGGAACGCCCCCTGGTCGCTGATAGTCTGTGAACCCGTATCATACCTGGAGTAATCCAATTATATGGCCAGTCCAAACTGGAATACCTAACTATTCCTTGAGATTCAGTATTCAATCAAACGACGCTTGCCAGTTTGCTCAAAAAAGGAAACTCGAAGATAAATCATTCAGTAAGGTAGGGAGACACAAGCAAATGAAGAAGCCCAATTCTAATCCGTACGGCCGCTTGCCCATAAGAACCCTCCTCGGCCATCGCCTGTACGGCATACAGCCCGTGGTGATGTCATGAAATTGAGACAACTATCGCTGCTCGTCCAGTCGGAGGAGTTAGTGTGATTACGTAAGCAACTTAACGTCTCGTGCTTTCTCCCATTATTTCTCACTTCGCTCAACCGGTGATATGGATAGGAACAATTGTCTGGACGGCGATAAACCTTTAGAATGCAAATATCAGTGGCCGGTGGTACCATTCTGGAATATATAACTCATCATTTCTCCGGTCAGCCTAGGTGCGGACCTATAAAGTAGTTATGGTTGGGCGTGATGGGGGCCCGCCTCCTTCAAAGAAATTGAGAACTTCCAGCAATGTATATCAGGCGAACTCTTCGGGCTCTGTTCGTCATGATCATGGAAGTCTCCTGTCTTTGAACAGATCTATAACTCCTCCGCTCTCTCGGAGTCAACTGCTTCGGAAACCTGAGAGTCCGGGACCAGGGCTGCCATCCAGACAGAAGATTATTCCATCACCAATCCAACTCACTCATATCCGTGATATCAGTGATTCAACGGGATATAATGAAGGCTGCATTAAGCTCCGAGACATTCTTGGAGATCCCATGATCAAGGAATGCTGGCAATTCAATTATCTTTTTGATGTGGACTATGTCATGGGTCAATTTGACCGTGATGTGAAGGATCTAATTCAGCTGAAAATAATTCATGGATCTTGGAAGAAAGAAGCTCCTAATAGGATTGCCATCGATGTAAGTGGAAGATGTGATCCATGCATTAGACCCCGTATCTTACCCTGGGATAGGATGCATGTAAGCGATACCCAAACGCCGAGGCAGTTGTGGCATATATGCCTGAGCCCTTTGGAACTCATCATTCAAAAATGATGATTTTGATTCGACATGATAACCTAGCACAGTAAGGTGCATCCCAGTACCTAAACTGCCAGGGTCGAAATACTAAAACAACGGTTCTTCTTTTTGCAGGGTCATAATTCATACTGCAAACATGATACCGAGAGACTGGGGAAATATGACCCAAGCAGTTTGGAGATCTCCGTTGCTTCCTCTCTCGCAGTCCCAGGTGGGTGATGCCTGTGGGGTTTTTGGAAGCAGCGCCCGTTTCAAGCGAGACTTGCTTGCTTATCTGGAGGCATATAATAATAATACGATCAATACTCTCATTCGCCAACTGCAACAATATGATTTCGGAGCAGTGAAAGCCGTGCTAATTGCTAGTGTTCCTACAAGATTGCCGGTTAAAGAATTTGACTCCAACAGGAGGACCCTCTGGGGTTGGCCTGCATTGAAGGATGCCATTGGTTCTATTCCTATAGACCGCAGCTCATCCCAGGCACAAAACCCCCATATCATCATTCAAGTAAGTGAGTTCAGCATAAACCATTTTTTATTGTGCCTGTTTTCCCTGACATACATAGGTATCGTCCATAGCTACGCTTGGACAGACTGATAAGTGGCTGAAAGAAACATTTTTTAGCTCACTATACTCTCAACCTGAAGTTAATCAGAGCCGTTCCACTTCCAAGGCGAAGTTTTCTATAATCTTTCCTACGCCTGATGAAATAAGGAGATCATTAGATGGTTATGGTTCTGGGGGGTCTATTCATATGAAAATTCAAAGTCCCCCTCAGCAGAAGCAGCTGGCATATTTGCGCCGCTATTTGTGTCACTGGGCAGGGGATGCTGAAGGTCCAAAGAACGCTGACCCTACCACAACATCTGATAGGGTACGGGAGGCTGGAAGGAGGAGAGCTGCGCCTCACATAAAAAGTTACATCCGGTTTTCCGATTCAGACATGGACAGCATCGATTGGGCAATGATTACATCCGCTAACCTCTCGACCCAAGCATGGGGAGCTGGGGCTAATACCCACGGGGAGGTGAGAATCTGCAGCTGGGAGATAGGCATTCTCATCTGGCCGGACCTTTTCCGCGAGGAAAATATAGAGGAGTGCAGTGACAGCTCATTAACCAACCATGTCAAGATGATCCCTTGCTTCAAGCGCAATACCCCCTCTGAGAAGCCACTGCAAACATCGGAGAACGACTCCATAAAAGTGACCCTGCATTTGGACGCCACGAATATGACAAGGGTTGGGCTGCGCATGCCGTACGACCTTCCACTCATTCCGTATACCCCTCAAGAGGTTCCTTGGTGTGCCACATCTGTCCACCGGGAGCCGGATTGGATGGGTCAAACCTGGGAAAAGAGCGATTAATTGCATATACGGCAATATAACCCCGCAAATTGCTCAAATGTGCATATTATCCCCCCGCTGGTATTAACATTAACTTCAATAAATATATGTAAGCTCAGGCCTTTTAACAGGGGAAGTAAAGAGGGGGTTTGACAGCGCAGATATGAAACGCTGAATTCTATTACTTGGGTATGTCGGCTCTAGAGTATTTACGCAATGAGACATAGCGGGAATAGAGACGCAGATGAACACGAGAGAGGACAAACACAACGACGAAAATAAAGATAACCAGATAATACCACCCCTGCCGTTGATCTTTTGCACACGGCAGTCAACATGATATCATGTCCCATTTATGAATTTATGTACCCAGCGTTAATATCATTTTACATGCCCGATGTTCATGGCTCCTCTTCCCTCTGGACTCCTTTATGTATGCTTCATTCTTTTTCTATTGAGCACCAACAGATTCTGGTTGCTTGGACTCATCATAGCCATACTTGGCCTTTAGATTTTCGACAAGCTCAATGTATCGCTCTTGCGCTTGCTCTGGGGTAACTCCTTCGTCAACAGTCGCTTTCCACTTGGCATACTTGTATTTTCCCTACCAAACAACATTAGTATATTATCGCGAAGTATTGGGTTAATGGCGTAGGCACCTTTAAGTCGAACATTCCTGGAGCAGGAGCCTGGTCGAATGGAGGGTCTTGTTTTCCTTGCTTGAAGAGGGCATAGAGCTAGTTTCGTGACGGCCGTGTTAGCCAACTGTTATCCTTGCAAATGTAGACGTCTATAATTGGGAATACAACAACAGAGGGTGGTTGAGATATGGCATACAGTCAAGAGTTCATCATCACTTGGCTTAGCGAGGAGTTTTCGGCTGGCTTCAGCGGCGGCTAAGAATTCTGGTGAAGACATGGCTGTGCCTGGATCTTCTGATTTCTTTATTTTTCTTTATTTTTTATTTTTTATTTCGGCGTGAATCCGGGTGCTTCTAAGGTACAGCTGACTCGGCGGGAGAGCTATTCGATCAAAGGAGGGGTCTTCTTCTGTAATCCAATATACCCGCGTCGATTAGTTTACTAACTAGATAACTCGAGCTCGTTGTCGGGGGCAAGTCGGTGGGGGGGATATTCCTCTCTCTCTATTGGTGACCTTACTCACTCTTTTGTCCGGCGGTCTCTTTTCTTCGTCTCTTCTTCTGTTCTCCTTTTCTGGCTGTGTTTTGTCTGGCGAGAGGAGGGGCTTTGCTTTTATATTTATAGATTTTGCCCATGAATCACGGGGAAGCAAGTGGCCCTAGCGCAGCGCAGGGTGCTGGGGCGGAGCTACTCGAAGTTACCTCAGTGCACGGCGAGAGCGATGAGGGCTCAAGGTCACTGGAAGTACTCCGTGATAGCCCTCATTGCGTCATGGCTGCAGGGATAACGGTGGTGTCTGGGAACACGGTGGCCTTCAGGTCCAAGGGACGGGACAGAGGGGCCGTGGAAACTCACCAGCTTGCAGGAGAGTGCAGCGCCCGCCGTTTGGTTTCTTTTCTTTCTATCTACCTTCTCTCTTTCCTTTTTCCCCTTACTTTTATATCTCTTTTTTAATTTTAAATTTATTCTCTCCTCCTTCAACACTGGCGGGAAAGCTATCATGGGCAAAGGAGGCGCACCTGTTTGCCTTTAGCGAAATACGTCTTAACGTCTTTTCGCCTATATTCCTCTTTATATTAACTATAGCACAGTCTGCTAATAAGCGCTAGCGCTGCTGACTAAGTCATTGTCCAAGGCCGATTGCTTACATCATCATATTCGATGCCAGCTCGATTGTCCCAGTAGACTTACATATTCAACGCAGGCTGACGTTTTGACTGAATTCAATGCATTTCCCGCAAGACTGGCTTTCCGAAGTATAATCTAATTTGTGAACAGATTGTGTACCGAATTTCAAAAAAGCGCTAAACCGACCGACTCCAAAAAGTATGCAGCATGCGATAGGCAACAAGTGATGGAGAGAACCACCGGGTCTACAAATGGAACAATTGGAAATAAAAGGCACAAAAGCTCAGGAAGACCAACCATATGAAGGGAAAAAGGTGCAGAGAAAGAGAACGTAAAGAGGCATAAGCTTCGTTAAGACATTAAGACGATAACTGGCTTACCAGTCAACTGCCCATCCATTCTTCTCCAGAAAGTCTTCACAAGCCGCCTTGAGCGCATAATTGGGTCGGAGGTCGCTGGTGGTCATTGGTACACGAGTTATGGGGTCAACCTCGGACTGCTGTATATGTTTCAAGATGCTTGTTCTTTCGAATGAATGACCTGAAGGTGTAACGACTGGATCATGCATAACTTCAAAGGTAATGTTGTCGATCAGGTATTCTGGCATATGCTGCAGACAAGAGTTGATTAGTTACTGGGAGCTTAGGATAAAAAAGAGCCCCCGAGGAAAGGGAAGAAAAGAAGGGCATTGAAGAAAGCACTGGAGGAGTATCATACCCTTTCCTGGAGCTCTATATCCACCGAGGCAAATGCTTCTCGCACATTCCTCAACTTCTTTGAATATTCTTCCTCCAATAACTTCCTGTCCTCTTCATATCCAACCTTGCCCATCTCTCCTTTCTCAAAAGCGTTATGCAAGGCAGCAATTTCTGAATTCAAATCCGCCTCCATCAGCATCTCTACCTGTTTTAGAGTCTCATTGCGCTCTCTGATACGAGATGTTTCCTTCGCTGCCCAAATACTCTGCTTTGCGCGAAGTATGATCCTGGACAGGGGCTCGGAGTTTGGATTCTTTGTCTCAAGACTGATCTTGTATGCAGCGAGCGCGATTTCAAGCGCCTCAGCAGGTCGTTGTAGTGCCAACAGGGCCTGTGAGAGGTAGTAATTCGACTTCACACCTGCGGCATTCTTGGGCCCGTAGAGGTCCACGGCGATTCGTGAATCGTGTTCTGCTCCTTCCCATAGTCCTAGCTTTATTCGGACGAGCGCGCGGTTGTTGAAGAAGGTGGGATCATTGGAATTTTTCTGGATTCTGTTGACGGAATCGTGAGCGTTGGTACTTCGCCGGACACTCCTGAAATGCTATCAACGAAGGGACTGTCATACGCTTGAGAATATAACTCTTCTGCACCTTCATAATCCCCTTCCTTATACCGTTCATTGCCTCGAGCCTTTAGTTCATAAGCCATCGTTGATTACTCGAGGTGTCCGGACTGCTTATTTCCAAGTATGAGGCGTATCAAAGAAACTGGCCACGCTTAACTGCTGGCCTTCTCCAGGCTCATAAATACTCAAGCTTCGTGTAGTTAGTCAGTGAAAGTGCTGCGCTAAAAGTAGGAAGATAACGTTCGATGATAAAACGTGAATATACATAGTATCAGAATCGCCGGAGATAGAATAAAAAGTGTAAGAAAGGACAGGCGAAAGAAAAGAATGAAAGAGAGAGTGTGTGTGGTGCCAGGCTGTATTTGCGCAAACGGCGAAGCGCACATCGCTCCGCCCACCGCAGGCGTCTTTTCCTCTTCTGGACGCTGGAAGAAGCGGGTGGAACACTTGATTAGTCATACAGTTACAGAATCACCCGATACCGACCGAGGCAGCAGACGGGACGGGAGCCCGGGCGCCAGATATACGAACGAACAACCTTGCATCACGCCGAGAAATGCAGAAAAGAGAGTGCAATTATTATATACAACCACTATATCATAAAGACTAAATTCAAAGGGTATAGAGCATGCAGAAATCATCAATCTTGTTTGGGAAAAAGTCAGATGCACCTGGAGAGCTGCCGGCATTCACTAGGTGCTTAGTCCAATTCTGAACCGTTGAGTGTCCATAGCTCAGGGCGTTCCGTTGTCAGGATTATCACTGAGCGCCGGCTGGAGTAAACGAGAAGACGGAGCTTTGCCGCTTTCTTCCAGCTCATCTGTGCCTGGCACTTTTGACAAACCAGAGAGTCTGACAGGAAGATGCCCAGCTGATGCCAGCCAGTCTTTGGTCGAAGCATCCTGCATGCTTCGACTTTCAGGGTACTCTGAGCTAGCTGCAATACGCCCAACGCTCGTATCGTTTAAGAGCTTCTTCAGACGTGTAAAGGGGTGTCCATCGCTGATTGTCATAACCAGACTTGCAAGGAGAAGCAGCAGCCAAGAAAAAAGGAAGAATATTGCGGGAATAGCGAATCGTAGGTCGTAGGTCACTTTCCGCTCATAGGCCCTTACAGTTCGAGTAAATGGTCCAACTCCAGTTGCCCTCTTTTCTAATGACGTACTTTCTCTCATGTTAGTGCCGACAGTATTGCTGGCCATGATGTCTGTCCAGATTAGACGAAGAAGCTTCGACGCATCGTCTGCCGTCTTGGATAGATTACGCCATTTGTTCCCGAGACCAACATTGCTTGCTCCAGAATATGAGATATAGTCGTCACTAAAACGGCTAAAAAAGCTGTTGAGTAACAACTTCCCCATAATCCCGTATGGCATTGACGCTCCCGCAAGGTTGTCCAGGGGCCCAGTAGATGAAGATAATGTGAGGCTATAATAACTATAGGGCAGGTAAAACGAAGGGGCTCGAGTGAAGTTGTAACCAGGAGTGCCTTTATATGAATTGTCAACGATCCCCCAAAGCGGTCCTGTGAAGGCACCTTCGGACCCTGGATGCCACCAATCTTCCAATGCCCAGAGCGGGTGGTCGTCTTGGCTAGAATATCACTTGTCTTCCATTTTCTTCACAGAAAGGGATTCCAATGAGGCAGTTCCATTCATTACGAAGGAGACAGTCTTCACTGATGATTTGACAGCACCAGCGCAGGTGTATATGGGCTTTCTCCATTTTGATCCAGCCTCCTTGAATAGTGGATTTCCCCCATCTACCCGTGATGCTGCTCCAAAGAAATGGCCACACTCAACGTTATATTCATTTCTGATGGAAGCATCATTATATTGCCCTAGACATCTGCCATTCAGTTCGGAAAAGAGCCCAATGGAATACCAATAAAGATCGTCTTCAGCACTTTTAATGGTACGGTTGCCCACGGTCAGGGTTCCATTATTGTCGAACGACGCGCTTGGCAGGTTTAACCAGGCTCCATTCAGAGACAGAGACTGAATATCCAGGGTGACAAAATACGGCACGCTACCAGCAATAGGGTAATGCTTTCCGGGAGTAACGTTAAAGCCGTATCCCACTGCACTGGAATTCCCATCTGTGAGGTTATATGTAAAACCAGCCAGGAAATTGTTAAGCCAAGCTGATCGATCCGCCCGAAGTTGAGGGTCCGGAGATGCATACGTGATGTTTGGCCAGCCTTTATAAGGATTTCCATGTCGCAGATTGGAAAATCCGCCTTCGTCTACGAGTTCTATTGAACGGATAGGCGGCGAAAAGGTTCCATTTCGAGTATCAGCCAGAGTGAGCTCGTAGGTGAGATTGGTATTGACACAGGATATTTCGGGCTCCACCCATAGAATATCTTCCTCCCATTCAGCGCCAAAAGGTATTCCTGACGGCACACTATGGTTCCGAAAACCAATGCCGCCAGAGTGCATATCGGCAATCACGCCTTCAACTAAAGTTATATCGTCTCTTGAAATCAGGGACTCAAGAGATAGCAACTGCCCTCTAGGGTAAGGTTTGTGATCATCAAAGTATTCAGAAGTATACGGCAGCCAAAACCGGTATTGGATATCTAGTATCCCGGCTACGCTTGATTTCTTGGAAACACTTGAGAACATTTCTGTGATATTCTCAGGAATCCTCGTGGTGGCAGTAATGTCAGGGTTTGCAGACCGGTTACCCTCGCCCTGGTTAATGACTGCTCCGGGAACAATGGCTCCGGGGCAATAAGCGCTGGTGATAATACAATCCCGAGATAACGGCATAACAGGACGAGCTATTGTGTTCTTACCGAAGTTGGAGAGATCGGGTGCGTAGTGGAAGCTCACATCACGACTCTCTGCTGGGCGAATATGGTCGCCAAGTCCCAAGGGCGTCACGACTCCAGATACAACACCAAGAACTGCAAGCCCAATATTGGTGTAGGCCAAGGCCGAAACACTCCAGTAAACATGTTTACCAGCAACAGAGTCTGTCCGAAGTATGCTCGGCCATAATGTTGAATGTAGCTGACGGGCAAGCACCGACCTGGCGTAGTTTTGTTAGGATATAGGAGACGAAAGGCGCAGATGTGGTAGTAAAGGCTGGATAGCTATTCAAAGCTTACCAGGATACCGCAGATAGTTTATCTCTCAGACGGTGAATCAGCACGATAGCTAGAAGCAATGGGAACGTGACGGTAACTATGAGAGGCCAGCGGATTAGAGAACTACCCTGGAGATGCAGGAGCGGTTAATCATACGAACAAAGTTCCCAAACGCTATCAGACCGGAAACCCGGCCGACTGTTAGCGTCGTGATACTGTCCATATTGCAGAGCCTTCCAGCGACTTTGAATCCCGCTCAGAACCCCCAGTTGTTTTCATCAAGAGCCTCAAGAAAACCCATGAAAAACGAGGCTCTTGATGAGAAAAGTTGTCTCCTCCTATTTATTTATATCTCTCACGAGACCTACATAAGTAGGTCCACCCGATGCCGATCGGGCCACCATTGGTCTTGGACCAGGAATCGATGGCGATTGCATTTCAATTGGAGGTATCGATTTGTATTTCTCAAAACAAATATGTGCTCCAAAGAAAAAGAATATTTGGAGTATGCTTCACCCATATCACAAGATGTCACACTGAAATCTTGTCACAGAACAGAATACAAATCATGCCATGCTAAGTGTGCAACCTGTTATCATTGAGCTCAAAACATGTAGTTTGCCTTTGAATTTTGACAGTTGAGGCCGACAAAGCCTCGTATTGAGCCGCCTCGAAGGCCAGAAAGGAAGGAGGCTGAGATGTTGTTACACTTACTGCATTTGGCTAGTCTGCACTAATTATATAAGCAGTTTCGATAAGCAAAATTGTGATTACCTCATCGTCTCAGAAGTTTTTTTTTCACGTGATATAAATTTGATTATATAATAAGGGAGCTTTTGGTAGGGCCAAACCTTGAAAATCCCATGCGAGTCCTTGCAGTTACTGCAGTTATTATCATCATCGTCAACCACACAGTCGTCTTTTCCATTCTGACAACTTCTTGTTGGCCATACTGGGCCATGAACTGCCGGTTAAGGTCAGGTTCCTACCCTTCAATACTCTACACCTCCGCTCATATTCGGTAGGCAATGTACGGAGTATGCACCGTTCCATACAGAGACCATGGCGGCGGGAGATGGTTCACAAAATCTTCGCTTAGCTGAGGCGCTGAGAAGTTTAGTTGCATAACTACTACCTATTTTTAAAACAAGGACTCGGCTCTAGCCAGCTCTGAGTCAGGGTCGGACAAGCTCAAGCCAGCCTAGGAGACGGGAGCTGGGAAGTTTAAATGACAGCTACTCTTTGGTTGATTTGTTGCAGTGGCTCGTTGAGTAGGCCGGCATGTGGAAACAGAAAGCCACCTCAGGGGAGCGTCGCTGGCAAGGCTTGTGGTCTGACTCCCCAGACTTGGCTGGTGGAAGTAAATGGGTAGTTGTGTTGGGCGCATACCGCAAGCCTAGCTGTACGGAGTAGCAACAAGCGAGTCCTGACTGAAATGCTCATATTTCTGATATATGGGGACTCTTGGATCACGAATCGTTTAGCGAACTCCAACGACTCGACAGGGGGTCAGCAAACTCTTAGGTGAAGCGAGATATGCTACCTATTTAGGGGGGACAAGCGCCTGATATATATAAATAGCTATATATATGAGAACTAGTCTGTCTAGCCTTCATTTTGCTCTTTATGTTCTCGTGAGACAGCCGTCGGTGAGAGCAGGAGTTTCCTCTCCGAATGATTCGCGATGGTTTCTAGTTTTGTTGCAACCACCTTGGCTGTTGGTCACAATGCGGTCAAGTCTATACTCTTCCGAATCGCAGGTCTCTGTCTGCAAGTCGGCATGTTCAAGTTCTTTGCTCTCATCGCATCAGTCACAAATGCTTTCACAGCGTATCTGATGTTTACGGAAGACTATATTCAGAGAACACTCTTTGTATTCTCTCGAGGATTTACGCATCAAGCTGTCATCGTTTTCTCCTTTACTATCCTCTTACTCACCTCTGGGCTGTACGACACCTTACTCTGGGGTCTTGATTCCCCTGGCTACGTCTCACTCAAACGAAATGTTACTGCTTCCTCCCTTAAGGACCAATTGCTTAGGAGGCCGGGGTATGTGGTGTTCTCCTCCACAAGACCAGAAGATTTCGATACACTTGACCGTCATTTCGCAGATGGCATGAACGGAAATTTGTTTCAGTCACATCTTAATTTCTCATTGACCGGCAACGTCGACCTGGGTAAACCTGAGCCCGTACCTCCAACCCAAAAGTTCAATCTACAGAAGAACATCGGACCACGAATATGGCTGGACAGCGAAGGGTTTTCAGTTTCACCCGATACATACGTCACTACCAGCTCGATATCCAATCTTGAGAGAAAGGAATATTATATTTGTCCTTGGATTACAGTAACGGAGGGTGAATCTGCCTCGTGGGAATGCTCCTTTGACAATATCCATGCAGGTCAGTTTGTCAGAACTCCGCTTGGCCAACCCGAAATCCACTGGGATGATATTACAGACCAGAGTTACCTATCTGAATATATGCGGCCGAATCGAGAGGATAACCCTTGGTCCTTCTTGGGTTCAGGAGGTGACACCGCCATGATGAAGCAAATGTTTACCGTCACCAAGGGTCGGAGAAGACATACCTTCCTAGAAAACGTGATGAAAGTATCGGCGGTGTACGATCACAACCAGCCTTTTCCGAGAGACTCGGTACATGATCTGGTCAAGCGGACCTGGTCTCTAGATCCGAGTCAATGGGATGATCCGTATATCACCAAAATTACTGAGAAGATCCGACACGGCGTGTCGAACAACACTAGCTTCCAATTTGGCTCTGTTCAAAAGTCCGGGAATAACACCGTCCTTCAGTTCCACTACGAATATTTGAACCTAGTCGCAACGGAAAGCGTAGTTGTATTTTCACTATTCCGTATATCTCTAATCAATATCACCATCATTCGCTCGGAGACACTCCCTGAACCCGTGAAACCTCTGGAGGCTTGTGACCATTACTACCATAACCGAGCAACAGGTGGGAAGGTATATGGCACCTCATGCTATGAACAAGGGAGTTCAAACAAGACCGGAGCTCGATTCTTTGGTCAAATCGATAGCTCCTCTGTTCTCGTTATTGGCGGAACCCTTGGAGACGGCAGCACCAACGTTAGTTCTGTGGCACTCAATCAAAAGGGCTTTCAATGGGTCGCAAACAATACGGAGAAGCTAGACAACCTTGTGCTGTCAAGAGGCTACATAATGGCCATTGACCCAGGCCTGGTCACGCTGGAGACGAGCAAGGTACAGGCAGCTATGTCACCCCTTCAAGTCTTACTCGTTATCCTGCCTATAATCTTCTGTGCTGCTATTTGGGCCTGGCTATGGCTTCAAGTAGACCCTCATTACTCCAATTCGCTTCTTGCCAATCTTTATGCGACAACGAATGTCGGGGACACGAATACTAGCGCTGATCCAGGGTATATACACACGATGCCTGACATCGGTTTGGTCAAGAAGGATGGAAAGGTTGAGATGGCCACTTCGACGGGAGTTTTTATACATAACCATTCGGAAACTGTAGGGGACGTGGGTATAGAGCATCAGCAGACAGATCCCCGGGGACACTATACCCCTATCCAGAATCCATGAATAATGGGCTCAAAAGAAAAAATGCAGTAGAGATACTCTATTTGGTACACTCTAATCTAATCTTGGTTAATTTCCAGTCCCTTCATCCATACTGTATGTAATAAAAATATGCTGATATGTAAGACCTAATGTGACATGAGATGTCTTATTCAAGGCTCTCCTCGACCTCTCGGACTACCTTGCGTACTCCCTCGATTTCATGCGCAAACCGACCCAGGAACATGCCATCAACAGCCTTCCCTAGCCCGCCTTGCGCCCAAAGTCCCGGCCCTGCACTGCCTCCATAAATCACTCTGATCTCCCCTCTGCTCGAGCCGCGGCGCACCCTGTCGATGACACTCCGTATCCCCTCAACCACAGCAGATATATGGTCGACGCCAGCGGGAACTGGCTGTCCAATTGCCCATACTGGCTCGTAGGCAAAGATACACGGTGCATCCTGTGGAATCGCATCCAGCACTGCTCTGACCTGAACTTCACACTCTTTTACCGCCACTCCAACAGCCTCTGACATCACAGGCCCAGGGACGGGTATTTCGCCCACACACACAAGTGGGACCATCCCCTGTGCGCTGACGGCTGCAGCTTTCTGTCCGACCTGTTCATCTGTTTCCTTGAAGATTGCCCGGCGCTCTGCATGGCCCAATTCGACTATCGACACGTTCATCGAGCGTAGACTGGCGGGCGACACTTCCCCTGTATACGGGCCCGCAGCCTCCCAGAAACAATCCTGGGCTCCAAGCAGGAAGGAAGGTGGTTGCGACAAGGGTCCCGGGACAGATTCCGCCGTCGACTGCTGCGTACCGGGCTGCTTGGTGGTGAACTCCTTGACCACCTCAGAGCATGGATAGACGGTCAGGAAGTCCGGGATGAGGGCAAGTAGGAGTTTTGATCTGTTTCTGGCGCAGACGATCTCGTTCCGTGGCTCTAGCAATTCTCGTAGGTATTCCAGTGTCCGCGAAGGAGTGAAATACATCTTTAACGAGATTATTAGGAGCGTCTTCGGGAGAGCTGGGTATGTCACCCCCGTTGTTGCTGGACCGGCCATGCTGCTGCCTCTGTCCTCGTTTCCTCAAGAGTCCTCCCTTCGCGCCGCCGAGGGGCCATCCGGGCTGCCCGGTCTATATACAAGTCTCATCCGCCTGCGGGCAAAGCTGCCAGCTGCTATCGGCGTCGCTCCGGACTGCCTTTATACTACGGGACGCTGCCATTAGCTAGTGAAGCCCGAACAAGCTTTATCGGGAGGCGGTTTTACTGGATGCAGTATCCCGGTGGCCATCAATACAAAGGAACGTCGCCCTAAGTCTTCTTCTCTCCCTCTAGCTGCGTTGGCGCCTTTGTCCGTCGCATTTGCGAAGAGGTCGCTCTCGCTGTCACTTATCGCCGGTGGCTGAATCTCTTCCCGTCGGACAATGGTCTGAGCTACTTTAATATGACGGCCTGGGGGTTGACGTCGGGTTCCACGTCTTTGGCCGCTGGCCAAATGGAAGCCTGCATCTGCTTGCCTATCAGAATCCCCCTTTGCCTCCATAACCATTAATCGGCCCATCTGCGGTATTTGTCCGGTGGTACAGATTATATAACGGCCTGGGAGAGCGAGTGATTCTGCGTACGCCTTCCGACGTGCAGCGTCAAGGTGGAGATGGGATTGTCATCATAATCTCCATATCACTCCACTATCAGGGTGTAATCGAGAGAACGGAGCCCTGGACGGCTATTTTTCCTTTTGGTTATGATGGAGACAAGTATCACGGACTGACCCGCGAGAGAGGTGACAGTCAAATGGTTCTCTAACACAGGTCGATCCGAGGGGACGTTACTTGCTGAGATATAAATACGGCCAACACCCCCCTCTGTTAGACCGTATTTCTCCTACTACTACATATACAAATCACCTACAAATCAAGAAGAGATATACCCTCCTCCGAATACCTGACGCAAAAACAACCTATCATTCTGAAAAGATGACTGCCTCGCTCCCACCTCTCCGCATCGCCATGTGCTGCGATGATGCCGGCCACTCCTACAAGGAAGCTCTTAAATCCCATCTCGAGAAGAACCCTCTCGTTTCTTGCGTAATAGACGTCGGTGTCCCATCTCCCACCGACAAGCGAGCATACCCTCACGTCGCCGTCGAGGCTGCCTCTTTGATCAAGGAGGGTAAAGCCGACCGTGCCCTTATGATTTGCGGCACTGGCCTCGGAGTTGCTATTGCTGCCAACAAGGTGGCTGGCATCAGAGCCGTCACTGCCCACGACCCCTTCAGCGTCGAGAGATCCGTTCTCAGCAACAACGCCCAGGTTCTCTGCATGGGCCAACGAGTCATCGGTATCGAGTTGGCTAAGAAGCTGGCTGCCGACTGGTTGAACTACAGATTCGACGAAACCAGCGCCAGCGCAGAGAAGGTCAAGGCCATTGGGGAGTACGAGGCCAAGTTTGGAGAATCTAAATAAAATGGACCGGATGTCATGACTTTCTTCTTCGGCTCTTTTCTGGGATAGACATTGGGATATACATGTTTTGCTTATGCTTTGCCCTGCCTTCATGTGTGTAAATTAGCCTGTAGCGCCTGGGGCGCAAGCAACAAAAGCAAGCCTCGTTAGGTTAGCTGTCGACAAAATGTATACACCACCTGCATGTGAATATCACTTCCTTCTTCGCCCTACCTTGATTCCTGTGAAGGTTTAGATGTCTTTGCAAGGTTGTTTTAGAACTCCAAGGGACCCATGGCTCAGTCGGATTACGTAATATTTAGCCTTGTTTTAGTGATCCACCAACCATGACAACTTCACCTCGCTCGTTGGTTACAAGACGACCAGCGGAATCAAAGGGATCTCTGTTTTGCTGATGAAGTTATAGCGAGCTCGCAGCCTCCTTGCAGCCAGCATGATTATAAAACAGCTCCGCCTTGGCTCAGTACCAATGGCCGGTTTCCGCTCCTCAGCAACCTGCTCCTTCTCACGATCCCACATAATACGGAGCTGCTCCCTGCCCCGAACTCATCTCCTACATTCGAGCTCCAGAAATGCATCTACTGCTGCGAGTGAATCTACGGCGAACACGGTGATAAATGCCCCACCACGGCCCAGACGGAAATCCAGAGGTATCGTTTGGACTACACTCATGGTGCTTGGGTTGGGCTGCGGATATATCTACATCACAGACACACGAGCTGGGGTACACCAATGGCTAGTACCACCTATGCTGCGATGGATATATCCAGACGCCGAAGACGCTCACCATTTTGGAGTGGACATGCTTAAATCACTGTACCGATATGGCCTGCATCCGCGTGAGAGGGGGAATCCTGACGGAGATGGCAAATTGGTGACCAAGGTTAGACCGAGTAGAGGAACCGCAAGACCTTATCCGGCTACCGAACCACACCTTCCTACTGATGCTAATAATACATTGATATAGGTCTTTGGATATACGCTGTGCAATCCAATTGGTATTTCTGGCGGTCTTGATAAGGACGCGGAAATTCCATCCCAACTATTCGAGCTTGGGCCTGCGATCGTCGAGGTTGGAGGGACCACGCCTCTTCCACAGGCAGGAAACCCGAGACCGAGAGTGTTCCGTATACCGTCACAAAATGCGCTAATCAATCGATATGGACTCAACTCAAAGGGAGCGGATAACATGGCCCTACTTCTCCGACAGAGAGTTCGCGATTTTGCCTACTCCGCGGGTTTTGGTTTAGGTGACGCTGCTGAACAACGAGTCCTAGATGGAGAGGCTGGTGTGCCCCCAGGAAGTTTGACAGAGGGCAAGCTTCTCGCTGTGCAGGTAGCCAAGAATAAAACCACTCCAGATGGCGATATTGAGGCCATCAAGAGGGATTATGTCTACTGCGTCGATCGTTTGGCAAAATACGCTGATATACTGGTTGTTAACGTCTCTAGCCCAAATACCCCTGGACTACGGGATCTACAACGTGTTGAGCCTCTCACAAAGATACTGACGGGCGTCGTTCATGCTGCAAAGCGGACTGACCGACAGACTAAGCCATTTGTAATGGTCAAAGTCAGCCCGGATGAGAACTCGGAAGAACAGATCAATGGTATCTGTGATGCTGTGACCAAAGCTGGTGTCGATGGTGTTATTGTTGGAAATACTACAAACCGTCGACCCGAGGCTTTACCCAAGGGCTACAACATGTCCAACGCAGAGCAAAACACCCTTCTTCAAACAGGTGGGTTTTCTGGGCCCCACCTAATAGAAAGTACAGTAGCACTGGTTGCCAAATACCGTGCCGAACTTGACCAGCGTGCCATCCCTGCAGGCCCAGCTGTGGACGAAGAGAGTATACCCGCCACCGACATTGTGGCTAGCCCGCCTCGAAAAGTCATATTTGCTTCCGGTGGCATTACGAACGGTGCGCAGGCACTTGCGGCAATCAATGCCGGCGCTGATGTTGCCATGCTTTATACCGGCTTAGTGTATGGCGGAAGCGGGACAATAACTAGGATGAAGGAGGAAATGCGGGCGGCTATAAAATGCAACTAGAGACTGCCGGCCATTGGTTTGTCCGGTATAACTATTGGCCACATAGAGAGAGCTTGCTCAGCCTGGCCTTGTACACATAGTTTGTATTTTGCACTCAAAAAGAATAAAAAATAAGCCCTCAGTCTTAGTCAATTGCTCATTGCACGCATATATTATAGTAGAGGTATATAGATAACTAGGCACTAGAAGGAAGTAAGCTTGAATAGAGTCAAATATATGGTTACTGGGAGGAGAGGAATGTATCGACAAGAGCAATTAATCGATTCGATAGCAGATCGGCATTAAATATCGAGATCTGCTAAGACTTCACCCTCAACATACGCAAGGCCATAGCATTCTCTCCTCACTGCGTCCAAAACCTCCCTATCGCCATTCGTTAGCCTTTTCAGGTATTCCTCTAGGATATAGATGTTATCCGTCCACATCTGTGCTTCTTGCTTCCATCTTGCAATATCTGTCTCCTTTTGCGCAATTGACCCTGGGCCATCCCCTTCAGACCGTTGCTTGATGTTGCTCTCCAAACACGCGATTTCAGTTTCAAGCTGGTCCTTCTTCTTCATCAACGCTATTCTTTCCCTCTCATTATCTTCCCGAGTCCCATTATGACTCCTTGCGTCCTCTAGGCGCTGTTCTTCCTTGAGCGCCATAACCTTGCTTTCCAGGTCCCCAATTGACTTCAGCAATTTCTCTACCTCCTTATCCAAAGCGTCTATTGTTTTCTCGCGAGCTTTCTTCTCTTCACCGCCCCATGCCCAGTACCAATTCCCACTGCCAATCTTTTCGACGTGGAGCTGGCCTTCGTCACTCAATGCTTGGATATGCTCCTTGACCTGCATACCGTTGATTGATGCAACTGGTGGGAGTATTTTTTCCAAGTCCTTGAGGGTGTGGCATGTTCGTGATGCTTGAAGATAGGCCAGGATACGGCGTTGCTTTTCTGCGGCTGATACTCCAGCCTTTGGTGCCTAGTGGTATTAACTGGTTAGTATATGACTGTTAAACTACCCCTGTAAATCGTACGATAAAGTGAAGAAAGGCTTAACAGGCGATACTAACCATTTCGAACAAGTAAATAAGTTGATAGAAGCGTCGAGAACCTAATTAACACTGAGAAAGATGAAGGTTTGCGATTCACTGAGTGTTGACATAGAAGAGATGATGCATTCGAGGTTGAAAGCAGGAGACTTGACGTTCATTTTAACTTGGCTCTTTCTCGGACACTATTCCACATTGGGACAACAATATCCAGCTTTCCTCTATTTTCCTTGCAAAACGGCCTGTAATGGTGTTATTTTTCTTCTCGCCGGTGGTATCTGGCACCATAGATAATTTTTCAACATAAAGCAGAGGTAAACTATCATGTTGTTTTGTGATTCACCTTACAGGATCGTCGTGCGAGAAAGCTCAAAGGGTTTGGTATCTAACGGGGTATTGACTCTAACGCAGAATGCGACCCTCCTCAGCTTGATGTATTTTCCTCACTCAATAGAAGTAGCTATGTGGATATATATCCATAGGTTATCCAAGCCCTTCTGGGCCAATACGAAGCACAGGGGATCGACACTTCGAGGACTTTTCTATGGGTGTTAAGGGCCTGTAACCCAACTTACACAGAATGGAGATACCTGTGACATTCAGGAATTTCTTGCCATAAGTTATGGAGGAGGCTCAGAGAAAGTTTGCCTTCGGTAAACACCAATGAGACACCATCTGTAAGCCTAATCAATGGCAAACACACCCAAGCCTGGTGTCATTTATCAGAGCATGTTGGTATGATGTGTGACGGTCAAGTAACCGGTTTCTCTGACGCCGGTCGCATGGCCGACAGGCTACTTAACCGCCGGCGTTTTTTGCTCTTTCGCTGACGTGACAAAGTTGTAGCAACATCATCAAGACCCCCGCTACTATATCCATCGATTCGAGACCGCGTACTGAATGCGGAAACCGACGTTTCACGGGATCTGACAACCGGTGCTTCCGCCTCCCACTCAGGATCACTGGGTACTGCACCCTCCACCAAGGCCAAATCTCCTGTTTCTCCAAGAGCCTCTACAGCAGTCTCCTCCAGCAAGAAACCCAGCGCAATCAAAGCAGTTTCATCCATGCTACGCCATGCTGACTGGCCACGATCCACCGTCTTATTTGCATACAGATCCGAAGTGTATGCATGGATAGCCTTGAGAAGGTCAGAGTCTGGCAAGGGCTGGTCTTCGGGTATATCTTCGTTGGCAAAATAGTAATCATTTTCCATATACCTTACGGGGGCGTTTTGCTTCCGAAATAGGACTTCTTCGGGAGCGACAGCTGGGAATATTCGTGATGAGGTTATACCGTGATAGTCATTAGCTAGAGTCGAAGACTTATTAGAAGATTTATCTGTTGCGATGCGACCTTTCCACAAGCTGTTAACTGGATTGAAAGTAAGTGTTTTTGTTGGTTTGGATTGCTAACCTGCAACAGCATCATAAACATTCGCATGCCGATACTTTGCTCCCCTCCGTTCACTAGCATTTATGTGCCCAAGTCTGGCAGACTTTTCATCTATGTTTCTATCCATCGTGGTCGTGGTTTTTATAATGGCATCCACATCATCGTTCATGCGATTTACTACCATGACAAGATAAAATAAAATGAAAGCTTAGTCATCTTCTGTGCTTTGGGTCTTGGCAAATTTCATCGTTAGCGATTGAGCCGCATCTGGAACCAGACATCAACGCCAGACCAGAGACGACAACGAACCTGACGAAGCTGATCTACTCAGATGAATGAATTCATATATCCTCAATAGATCTCAAGGATCTATCCACCCTTTTCAATTCCACTTTGCGCAAAGCACTCGTCTTGTCCATGGCCTCGCCGCTGCTCCAGGCATCCGCTTCTCCGCAGTCAAGCAGCATGAATCCCAGCCGGGAGCTGCTGATATAGCCGAAGGGATCCCCGATATACTCCATTCAGATCTTGATTTTGACGATATATGGGCACATAAAGCCGGAGTTAATGTTTTGGCAATAGATCAATATGAAAAGCGGTAGTATGTTTCGCCACGATATCCCAAAGTAGCCTTTGAACCCATCAGCACTGAGAAGCTACAAGCGGCTAAGAGAATCAACCTTAGTATGATTTCGGGCGGCGCAGATACCTCTATTCATTTATGGGATTTAGAAGGTCGAGGCACGGAACTTAATTACCTTCATCAACCGGTTGCTTCTGTCTCAAAGTACGTTCTACCCAGTTTCCAAGCTAGATTTATCGACTGTCACTCACGATGATTGTATCAAAGACAAACAAATACATCAACTCATACCCATGCACTGACGTCCCTCTCGATATACCCATTTGATCCTACGCCATCAACCATCCTGAGTACTTCACATGACGCTACGTTGAAACTATCCAGTCTCGGGGAGTCGGATATCGTTCCGGTTCATACATTTAATCTTCATTCAACACCGTATTCTCATTCGTTGTCAGCACACCAGGCATCTCACTTACTTATTGCGGTTGGTACGTCAGAGAATGCTATACGGCTATTAGATCTTCGTTCAGGACTATCAACCCACGCCCTCCCAGCACATACTGGGGCTGTTATTTCCGTTCAATGGGCACCGCATAACCCTCATTTAATTGCCTCAGGCTCGAAAGACAACCGAGTCATCATTTTTGATGTCAGAAGGGGCGGCCGTAATTCGGCAATAGCTTCCTTTAATATGGACGACTCGACGGGTATACTGTCGCTTGAAAGACCCGCTAGCCAGCAAACCAGTCAGAGTGGAAAACTACTCAGTTCTAGCTCCCGCGCCCATAATGGTACAGTAACCGGGGTTCGATGGACATCAAATGGCAGTCATTTATTAAGTGCAGGTCAAGATTCACGCATTCGCGTTTGGGACGCTTCCACTGGTGCGAACACCCTCATCCATTTTGGGCCTCGCATAAGGAATAGTGCCTCGTTGCATCTTGCTGAACGAGCCCCTCTTGTTCTGCCTGAAAATAACAGTGTGGTGACCCTCTCACTAGATCACGGAACGGTGCTCTGGCCAAATTATAATGACCAAGATGACAGAGGCGAAATTTTCATGTTTGAAATTCACGATGGCACCCAAATCAAACACCTACGTGTACCAGGATTGATATCCAGAGAAAAACTACGTGGAAGACCAACTGCTCTGAGTGCTGCGAGAATCAACGCCCTCGCTTGGCGGGGTAACGGAGCGTCTGGTGAAGGGATGGAGATGTTTTCGGCTCACGGAGATGGTACAATCAGATCATGGACCTCTCGAACAGAAGAAGACGAAGAGTTTGAAGCAGAGGCTGTACAGAAGGAACAAGAAGAGAAGAAGAGAAAAAGGGATATACTTGATGAAGTATACCGTGGTCTTATGCGACCGGGTGTCACCTTCACCTAAAGAAGACGACTCTTTGTACATATAGTCATTCTGGAAGTAGTAGCCAAACAGAAAAAAAAAAAAAAACTAAAATAAAAACCAATATTGTGATAATGATCGACGCAGGGATCGAACCTGCGATTTTCCGCGTAACTTCGTATGTAAGGCGGACGCCTTAACCACTGGGCCAGTCGATCCACGTAATATCAGACTCCTATTATTTGCAAATAAGCCATTGCCATGACGCTTAGTAAGACTCAACCCCCAGCTCATTTCAATCCTACATTTGATAGGAAGTCATTGATCTTGGAACTCTAGGTTACCGAGTTGTGAGATACTACACATAGTTATTCTGTCACTGTCATGAAACAGAGCTACTGCGGTATTAGGGCTTGAATAAGTAGCGGGAAATACTTGATTATACAGGACTTCATGTTACCTTTAGCGGTCAAACTGTTAGTAGTTAATATAATGAACAGTAGATAGCATTGTCCTATTCAGAGCTCTGAAACAAGATTTCTGAAGGACCTTTTCATTTAATGATGTTTTCGTTGTTATTCATTTGCCAGTGAAGGCTTTAGCTAACTAATGTTGAAGCTAAATATAATGGAGGGTAACTCTTTCGAGTTTCTTTCATCCCTACAAATATTTCAAACTCACATATATCTATCCCAGTGACCAAACAATGCAGAAAGGTATCCTAGCTTAAATATACATAAAGTAATAGGTTCAGTAAGCATGGAGCAGATGTTGCAAGGCAAAAGAAATAGAGATGATGGTCCTCGTCCCCTTCTCCATAGAACGCTGCAACAACGCAGAGCATGAAAGGGGGAAATTACTCGGGGCCCCAATAATAGACATGGCCCTTGCAGATCGAAAACGGCCCCCAAACTTATGCAAGCTGAGGCTCAGCCACAAACGGATCTGAGAGTGTTTCAAACGCTAAAATGTCTCCAGGCTGGTACTGGTTTGTGAAGGGGCAAGGAGCGGTTTGCGTAAAGCTAAAAAGGGGGTATATTGAATAAATATTAGGTATATAGAAGGTTTCATCATAATGCCTTCCGTTGAATAAAATGTCGCCAACCCAGGTCCACTGGGCAGTTTAATGCTGCTGTAGTGATCGTAAAAGGAGTGCCAGCTCCTCAACCTTAGTGATAGTATCAAACTAATCACAAGGCTAATAATTATCGTAAGACATCGCCTCGTCTTCAGTGTAACTTGAACAAATCCGGGAAAAGTAGAAATTAGATCAGGAGAAAATCCCAGCCGTTTTGTTGCATGACATCTCGCCAGCGGACAATATTGTTGCTTATCAGCGGAAGCTCCCCATTAGATCGCTGGGAAAATGCTGTTGGTTGTTCTGCCTCTATGAGAGCTTTCTCGTCTGCAAGACGCCAGACTTTCTGAAGCACGCATATCATGCGGCCAAAGCTTCCTAGCTCGGCCTGCTGACCCATTTGCTCTATTCGTTTGCCAAGCGTCTCGCGGAATGTACTTCCAGGAGTTGCAAGCGAGCCGCAAATGAGTAGTGGCCAGACAAGGGAGGTATCAAATCCTTCTGGCCCACTAGGGATGAGGTCAAGCAGTTCCGCAGCATGTGAGATCAGGCTAACGGTGCCTGGCTGGTCGCGTTTGGATCCAGGAACAAGACTGCAAAGATAGACACGCGCGGCCACTCTGAATAGGGCAGTGATGTTTCTAGAAAGCTGCTGGGGTAGCAAAACCCCGTTCTCTGAGAATGGTTTGACGAGCGATCCAGCCGGTGGTTCAGTATGGTCAAGCTGTTGAGCAAGGTTCGTGACATGGCCACAAAGGCTAGCATGGTCAGTTCGGCCCTCGATACACAAAGCATCGAGACACGAGATTTCTGCAATCAAATACATGACTCGGTCTTCGCAACCCATTAGTTCACAAAGCCCGGCGCTTGATCCACCAAAGAGTTTGGTTCTGTATGTATGTGCGAACTGCGGCATCTGTCCGAGCATCGTTGATCCCAAGATATCGATCCAGGCAGCTAGGCTCATGCTGAATGGCGGATGAACAGCGCCATGGTCGGATTCTAGAAGGCGGTGGGGAAGGTCCAGTTTGTGGATCAAGCCCGTGGCTGCTTGGAAGTGTTGGTGCCACGGAACATCAGGGAGAGTGTCGTTTGCACGACCAGCAGCGCATTGGAAGAACGCCATACTGAGAGTGGCCTCGAGAATCTGAAGATGATCGGTATCCTGGTTCAGAGAAGAGCAAAGCTCAGAAACGGCCTGGAAGCGGTGCTTAAGGATATCATTGTCGATGAAGTCGCTGATGACATGCTGCGTTGACTTTAGATGAACAGCAGCAATGCTTAGGCAGCAGTGCAGATAGCACTTATTCGACTCGATGGCAGGGAGAATAACATCAGCGAACACACCTCCTCGTTTTCTGGTTTCCAGGATGGGGAATATTTTGCTAGATACATTCTCAAAGAAATGATCCAGTAAATGGCGGTCTGAATCGTCAACCTGGATCGAAGGAACACCCACGGGGACGTGAGAAAACTCAAGGCAGCTATGCTCTGAGAGAACCTTGGAATCGAACACATCATTTCGCGCCCAGTCATCTTCAGCAAATGAAGGTAGCATGGCATGGGCAAGAGGAGGCTGGAAAGTATTGAAAGTAGACGTTGATGAGTCCCGTCGAGTTGGGATATCATTGATGAATAGCTCGCTCTCTGTTTTGACATCTACTTCATACGGCGTTGGAGCAGACCAGAATCCGTTAGAATCCAAATGTGATGGCTGATCTTGAGCATATGAATCATATAATTCCTGGATGTGAACATGGCTAGGCTCTCCTTCAGTGCAGTAAGGCGGCTCTAGAGAAGTGTCTCGGGTTTGCGAAGTGGTATCTGGGTATGCCTCAGGGGTTGGAGCTGAATGAGAAAGGTCAGGAGGGCTGTATGTGCAGCATGATTGACGAGGACATGAAACTGTCTTTTCGTTCATCTTGGTGCTCTTGATGAGATCCTTAATGTACTCCTTTTGCGACTTTCTCTGTTCATTGTTTCCCCACCACATTGGCCGTTCATATTCACATCGGAGCTTGAGATTTTTGCAAGCACGGCAAGCAGGATGGCCTTCGTCGCACTTCTTGCGTCGCAGGCGGCATGTAAAACATCCTTTATTTAACCGTTAGTATGTGGGACTTACGCTGGGAGTAAGCAGGGAGATCTATATACCAGAACGAGATCTTCTATGTAGCTTCTCCGCCTTCTTGATGCCAGGATTCCCTTGTGTTGACGGGCTAGACGACGACTTTCCTGTAGGCTTGCGGGACTTTTTGGACCTGGAAACCGGCTTGACAAGTTCTATAGAGCTGGCCATACCTGGAGAAGAGGCGGGCGATTTGGGAGAGGGGGCGATTATAGCGAAAGACATTTTGAACCGACAACAGTAAGCTTTTTAAGAGTAGAAACAGCTGCAACGAGAAAGAAAAACAGATGGATCCGTCCAAGGTGAATAAGGTCGAGGATGTGCCACTGAAGGGGAGTATTAGATAACCTCTTTACCTGGCCAGCAGGAGATTTATCGAAAAAAAGAGTGTGATAGCGACAGCGGACAGGTATGAAGCCCTGAACGAAAGAGGGAACCAAAAAAAAAAGGGGATTAATTATGTTCTTTAAAAGATTATGCTGCGGGCAAGGTATTAGTTTAATAATTGATATCAAAGCTGCGCTAACCGACCAGGTTGGGGTGTTTCTATTTTTGACTCCATTTATAGAAATCCGCCGGGAGAAGATCAAAAACTCAAAAACGAGAGGGGAGAAGCAAAGAACCTAGTACAGGAGCTCAAGAATTATGCAAGGAAGGATCCTTGGCGAAAGATGACTGGTCAGTCCTCTTTTTCCGCGAGCCGCCCTGGTCAAATTTAGTTGCGCACAAGTATGCTGATGGCCAGGGTATGATGGGTCCAAGAGTGGAGCGGGGATATGGATACCATGCAGGAAGGAGGTGTGATCGAGCGCCGGATAGGCTGGGAGCCTGCAGCTCAAAGATTGACCCCATTTGATCACCAGCAAATCAGAACCTCGATATCTGGTGTTTGAAGGTCGTTCCTCAACACCAGCCTTTCACGCAGTTGAGCCGTGTATTCCCTAAACGTGTCTCAGTATACACAAGCTCAGAGAGATGGCCATTAGTGGGGATGTTTGGTGCATATCTCATTATGGTTGCTACCCTGGGGTTGGAATAATCAACATTCTCACCCTTCGGGTCAGGCTGTTAACCTAAGTATACTCTGTACCAGGAAGGATTGCAGTCATGGAGGCACATGTATGCAGGGCCAGATCTCCGCCCACGTACGAAAACATGAGGGCCCCAGTTCGGCTATGGCTGGGGATGGGCAGCCGAGGAGTCTTGGAGATATGCATGCTGACTGTACGGGGTACTTTTAGAACAGGGTAGCTTCATTTCGGGATCAAGTCGGTGCCCTCTGTTCGACTGGGCTTGATCTGTCTGTTGCCATTCCAACCAGGCACGATGTGGAATGGTTGTACATTCAGCATTCAGCATCCTCATTCGAGAGGAGCGTTCAGTTACCCCTGAGAAGCCAAAGGGGGAAACGCCAGCTAAGCCAAAAACAGGTGCAAGGCACTCTCCTCCCTCATCGTTCAATTTACCGCGGTCCCTGGTTGGGGATGTTTTTCGTTTAGTTAGCTATAGTATTATTTAAGTGAGGAATCAAGTTGGTTGAAGGGCGAGCTCTGAGGCTAAGGAGCGAGGTTGAGGTTGAGGTTGAAGAGCAGTTTTGCCAAGCTTCGGGAATGCAAGTCCTGATTCGTCGTTTGTCTCTGCCGCTAATCCTAAAGAAGTAAGTGAATTATTGTGCTCGGTTCAGAGCGAAGTTTGGCGTATCCAGAGGACGCGGAGTTTACGCAAGGAAGCAATTATTGAAGCCAAGAACTCCATGCATCGCGATGATTCAGGGTCCTCGTAGGCAGATGGGATGTGACAAGACGCTGTGGAGCCCTCTCGGGATCTTCACGCACGACAGGGTGGCCGGGGAAAGGCGAGATCACGAGTTGGTTGAAGGTACAGTCGGTCGTCACTAATTTGCGCACCTCCCCACGTGATAGTACCTCAACAGAAGTACCACCTATACCCTCCCTCCACTCCATAACGCGATAAAATATGCCACAACGCGTTATTTTGGCTGAAACTAATAGCAATCAAAGGAAGAAGGAGCTCTCTAGCTATACCCGTGGCTTAATTTATAGTCTTTACAAAGGGGGTATATCTTATAATAAGATTAGTACTAATTTAAATATTCCGAAGTCTATAGTCGCGACTACTATAAAGAAGCACTCCCTCCAAATAGATAGCCAAATACTACCACGGCCTAGAAGACTAAAAATCCTATCTAATAGGAATATTCAATCACTTATGAGCCGTGTACGCCGTAAACCTCTTATTATCTATAAGAAACTAGCTCTCGATACCTTTAATATAGCCTCAAGATCGATATTATATAGAGCCCTTAAGAATAAGGATATTATTAACCACCCAGCAAAGAAGAGACCCTTTCTCCTACCTATCTATACTTAGAAACGGCTGGCCTAGTGTAGGGAACGCGAATATTAGGGGGATATAGAGTGGAATAGGGTAATATAGACTAATAAATATTTAGTCGAAAGAGGTAGGGGGAAGTAATAGGAATAGGCCTTTCGAAAGCCTAAAGAATAATAGAATCTTGATAAAATAACCACATATAAGACTAGAAAAGACCTTAAGCTAATAGTCTAGGGTACTTTTAATAGTACTAGGCAATCGAGAATAGCTAGAATAAGGAAGGATATAAGCTCTATAGGGGGGAGGATAACTACCAACTTCTATATGGATATTCTCAACTCCCACTTCCTAGAATTTTATAAACCAGGGCTTATCTTTATATAGGATAGTGCCCCTATCTATATATCACACAAAGTTACTACCTGGGTGTAGGATAATAATATAATTATAACTTCCTGGCCCCCCTATAGCCCTAATCTTAATCCTATCAAACATATATAGAAAAAACTCAAGGAATTAGTATATTTAAGGTATCCAGACCTCCTTTTACTACCTAGGGAAGCTGAAGCAACCAAGGATGCAATATTTGAGGCTATAAGTAATGCCTAGGAGGCTATTCTAGATAAGTTCTTTGCTGCTCTTGTAAAGAGTATACCTTAGAGGGTGGCTGTAGTAATTGCTGCAGATAGATAGTAAACTAAGTACTAGGGAGCTATTTTTTTCGATATCTCTTTACATCTATGTATTTCTATGCTTTTTCTCTATTATTTAAGCCCTGTTTCATTATAATTGAGCATAGGGTAGTGGAGTTATTAATTAATCGAATTTACCTGCTTACTTCGGTGTATGTACATTTTGGTGGGGGGTGCGCAAATCTTTGGCCTAGTACTGTATCCTGTACAGAGTACTCCATACTTTACATGGAATCTCTACTCGGTGTTTTCACCCATGTCTCCACCAAGGTCGAAGGCCGCTGCAGGTCACCGTGACTCTAGGCGGCCCAGCTTGGCAGAGTGCACTGGCGATGTGACAACGCCGTTGGGCTTGCAGATTTCACACGTCACTGGGCCAATGAACGACAACGGCTGGGATGCTGGAGAGATTTCAGTGCAAACCTTGTTTTGTCGATTTGAGATGCAGACGGGAGACGGGAGGAACAAGCATAGGGGGAAAACAACCCATAATTAGCAACAATTTACCCGAGTTAATTATAGCAATATATTTAATTCAACTTAATTAACTCTAAATTTAAGGTTAGTGTAACTCCCGTTTCTATTTATAAAACATGTTAATAAGGTTAATTAGCCTGTATTAACATGGCAAAAGGGGGATACGGGTTAATTAAGCTGCACATGACAACTGCCGCCCGCGACTTTTCTTCAACGAGATTGTTGAGAAAGCCCGCCCTGTCACAAGATACCTTTCCAGGAGCCAAAGGGGAAAGTACAGTCCCGGCCGAGATGGTGTTCGCCTCTTTCTATGCCCTCCAGCCTCCCCTTTTTTCGTTATTATTGCTTTATGAGTAATCCCTCCTTACGCTTATGATTTTCCAGGGTAGTCCGTCCAGCAAGGCATATTCTCTTGACATTTCGATGGCTGACTGACGGCAAATATTTCCTAGCAGGTAGCGGGCTAGCAAGCTCCCCGACACACTTCCATCCATGCTCCCTACGCCTCAAGCCGCATGGTATGGCAGTCGAATTCTGCCCCTGACAAAGATAAATATGCATACCCAATTGGACTACAGGGTTATACAACCTTGTGCCTCAGCTCCAGAAGCCGAAGTCAATTGCACATCGTTCTACATCTCTGATTCAGCGTCACTTCCTACTACAATATATAATTGACTACGAGGTCTTGTCAGGACTCATCATGATCAATCAACCAACCTCACAAGTTGGCAGAATGAAACCTTTTCTGACCTCAACAGGCCGCAAACGTCCTCCCAACTGGCGCACAGTCCACATGCATTCATTATTCACACAAGCAAGGAAGGCCATTCAAGCATCCACTGGTGGCTCTCAACTAGCACTCCGGAAGATATATGTCGAGTTTTATCCCATACACCTCTGGGTCTTTGGGAAATATCACGGCATCACGGGTCATACCCGATTCCCTAGCATCTAACTGAGAGGGAGAAACACATATATAGCCATGGTTCTCGAGCTATATACCACGCTGATATACTCGTATACAGTTCCTTGACTTCCAGGATTATCATCATTATGATGCATTCCCTTGTTGCCAGCCACTTAGGCGGGCACCCGAGTTTCCGGAATCGAATCCCAATTTCTAGGAGCCCCTGTGTGTGTGACAAGTATATACTTATGTCATCGTGTCATGCACGTCAAGATGAATTTCTTCTGGCAACAAGTACTTCTCGATGTCATGGTCTGTAACAATCGTCCCACGAACTCCGCAACAGCATTGCCTAGAGTATGTTAAGGGCGTGGGCTATCAATTCTCAGCTTACACACGCTGTACCTCATCGTGCTTTGAAACAGTACACGATATTGACAGCTGTAACCGCGGTTATAGCTTATAGTGTCCTTGACGAGGAATTATTTTGTCGCTCAAAATATGAGATCCGTCATACTTAAGGGCAAGGCAAGGATGGACCAAGCATATCTCTGCATGCTGCTTTCAGCTTTTGCCCATATCCTGTCTCTTGCCTTGCTCACCGCATCACTCTCAGCAAGAAGCTTTCATTATTATGAGGACGTATCCAAGATGAAGGATAAGCTCTGCTCGGATATCCAATCTCACCAAGTACATCATCATAAGCTCCAAATTTCGTATGACGCAATTAGCACCAGCCCGACTCACCCTGTCTGAACATCGATTAACAGCAACTGATTTTCGAATTACTACGTTTACGAGTATCTTGTCCTAACCCCAATTATGCCCCTGTGCGGGAGGAGTAGATAGAAAATGCTCCTGTGCATTTTACAGTGAACGATGCATGCGCCGTACAGCATTGTTTCTCGTCCCTGGTGTCATGTGGGCGCGGAACCGGGCTTGTCCCTCTTGACATGTAATATATACACTACATCCTTCTCATGCGAACGGAGTAGCTGCAGCTCTCTATATTGCCTCTTCGCTGTAGGTGCAGTCTATAAACCTGTTCAGCGTAGTGCTGGGCAGGCAATAACTCGCACACTGCTGCGCTATACAATGCAGGCGCAATCTCGAGAAGCTGTGATCATTTCTCAAGCCATAGACCCCTAGAAGGCGAGGTGGAATGAAAATCCAGGTTTTCTTCAGTATCGGATTGCCTACTCTCCGCCCGTAGCGTGTATACATACATCTATGTGTATGCCCTCCACATGGCTCGTATTGCCCGATGGTCAGAGAAGCACTTCTGGGCCGGACTATAAGCGATTCGTGCATGATCCCTCGGTCAACTATCAATCTCAGTCAGCTCAGGCGTTTTTCAACGGCGCAATAGTTTGTGGTAGCATGTCACTTGATCGTTGCACCGCAACATACTACAGCTGTGGCAATTATCTCCTAAAATCATGCTGCCACAGGGTGTGAGAGAGGCGACCGAGCCATCGGAATCCAATTGCTGTCCTCGGTATGGCCGACCTTTTGCTTCTCAATGCAAAGCGTTGAACTTGCTGTGTGATCAGCAGGACGTCTTAAGCAAACGCCACCGAGCTCACCAGTATCGCTCGCAGCCGAATATGATGGTATCGATGACTATGGCATACATGGTAACGCAAGACTCCAGTTATCCCATCTTTACAAAGTTTGACTCAAGCGGTGTATATTTTCTAACCTTTGCTTCTTTTCCTTTACTTTCCTTTTTTTCTTTTCTTTTCTTTTTTTTTTTTACCCTTAACCTTTTGTTGTATCGTATAAATTTGATCTCGTTAGTTACCTCGCGATGTGGATTACGCCGTTAACTGACCATCGCCATACCTTACTTCGACAGCTGCCTCTCTCGGCAAAACGGCTTTTGAGACATCCAACATTCTGATGCGTAAGGACGGCCAGCAGAGTAGTATATTTAGGCCAACCAGGCTGCTGTTGCTGCGCCTGGCTCTTCAACCAACTAATAAACAAACCCCTGACGCAGCTGCCTTGATACATCCCACAGATGGCCTGATGATAGTTATGGCCGAGGTCAGAGACATACATCAGCAGCCTTACTTGCACTGCCATGAGCATGCTCGGTGTTTGTTCACGGAGCAGGGCTCAGCTTCTGTAGCAAAACGCATGTCTGCTGCCGACGTACGTACTCTGTATGAGAGTGTGATAATAATGACGATGGAGGCCAGCCTCCTCGAGGACACGCTGTCCAGCAACGATGCCAGGGATGCATCACTATACTTGCCCAAACGAGCTATCAATAGGGAATAAAATGCTCCTCGTCCCGGCTGTACCGAGTACTACTAAGCCTGTCCTAGGGTGTCCTTGCCCGTAACCAGAGAGGCCAAATAGGCAGCTCGGGGCCCATCAACAACATTCTTGTACCATGCGAGAAACATACATGCAAGTCAACTACACCGAGCAGGAGAGACGCATCTATGTGCTGGCGCCGCTTGCCAACACTGGCAGCCAGAATAGTGTTTGGTCAGGGAGAAGGGGGGAGTGCAGCGACAATTTATATATACGACATGCGAGCAATAATACATACGCTGTCCACCGGCAGATCAGTTCTGTCAGAGTTTACTTTCCTGCGATGCATTGGATTTTCGCGCCTGGGAGGGAGAGTATAACGACAAAAGGAGCAGCTCGACAAGGCCGAAACCAAAAAGCAAATGCTTGTCCCTTGACATGATGGACGAGGCGACTGTTAGATAGGGAAATGTTGCCCGAGTAACTGCCCTGCAATTAACCTGGGTGGCAGTCAGTAAGGTACATTCTGCAGGGCAACAGCAGAAGAACAAAGGGACAATGCCTGCAGGATCGCAGGCAGTGATTGGGGCAATATATTACAGCCTAAAGTACTCAGTGTTCCCGTACTGCAGGCTAATTTAATGCACCCATTCCTGCATTTCATACTGTGAGATGCACGTTCCCGTGCCAAAAACGACCGCCAGGGAGAAGGCTCAGCAATGACGGTGATTAGTCAAGGCGATATTTGGCTTTCTCGCTGAAGGATACGGCAATGCAACGATAATTAATGCGAGCAAATTACAGCCGGCCGAGGGCGGTTTTGTTCATGCGGCCGTCGGGCCCCCACTGCCCACTCGCAGCAGCAACGCCAGGGATTCACGATCGCCAGCGTCATCGACACAGAGAGGCTGGCAGAATGGCAGGGAGGAGTGTCTGTATCAGAGCAAGACAGGACGCCCTCTGCTGGCTGGTAAGATCAGGAAGCAGAGGGCTGGTGCCAGCCATTGAGTTGCATCGGCAAAGGCGAAGGGAACAAACGTAGCTCTCTCGACCCGG